ACCATGACGAAGAGGAGGTACCTGCGGGGCCCGCCGCGCGTGACCTCACAAACGCCCCTCCCCGCCGGTGACGCTGCTCCTTCCCAGCGGGGCCAGACGGCGCGCGCGGACCGGATGCCCCCTTTTCCGCCGGCGGCCATGAAGGGGACCCCCAGCTCCCTGGAAACCCTGCTGTGGGTCTACCACTTCCACAGCTCCACGGAGGTGAGGCTACGCCAGCGGCCCCGCCCACGGCTGACGGCCCCGTGAGCTCGGCCCGGTGACCCGACGGCCCCGACGCCCCCGCTCCTTGTGCAGGTGGCCCTGCAGCCCCCGCTCCTGTCCTCCCTGGAACTCGCTGTGGCCGCAGCCCACGAGTATCTGGAGCAGAGGTTCCGCGAGCTCGAGTCCCGCGAGCCGCGGGAGCCTCAGGGGCCGCCCGCCCCGAAGCCCACCCTGGGGCTGGTGCTGAGAGAGGCCGCGGCCAGCGTCATGAGCTTCGGCGCCACCTTGTTCGAGGTGGGGCGCGGGGGGCTGCCGAGGGGCGGGAAGGGGCTTAGAGACCCCTGCATCCCCCGCCAACTCCTGCACCCCCCACCGCAGATCTCAGCCCTGTGGCTGCAGCAGGAGGTGCGGAGACTGGACGGCGGCGCCGGCAGCCCGGGCCCAGCCCCAGGCGCCGGGGACCCGGGCGGAGCGCTGGCCCGGGTAGCCCAGGCCGCGGGGCACGGGGCTCGGCGAGCGGGGGCTGCGGCGGGCGCGGGTGCCCGGCTGGTGCTGCAGGGGGCGTGGCTGTGCCTGTGCGGGCGGGGCCTGCAGGGGTCCGCCTCCCTCCTGCAGCAGTGGGGGCGTCAGCTGGGCCTCGGGACCGCCGGGGGACCGGTGAGTTCAGGACGGAGCTGGAGGGGGGAGGAGCTGGGGGACGGAGGCGGCGGGGCGCGGCGGGGCGCGGCGGGGGGTGGGACACTGAGCCGGCCCGCCCCCGACAGAGATACTCAGGGGACCTCAAGGTGGTGTCCAGCAGCCGCGCGGAGGACGGGGGACTGGAGAACCCCCCGCCGCCCCAGCCCCGCCCCACGCTCGAATAAAGCCCAGGCGGGCCGGGACCCCGGAGCTGCTTCCCGTGTCGCGCGGCTGCGCGCGTGGGCCCCCTCGGGGACCCTCCGCCGTCACCTGCCCAGCATCGGCACGCTCAGCGACGTCTCGGGGATTTTCTGAGCAATCAGGAACAGGAAGACGGTCTGGGCGAGCAGGACGTTGATGGAGACGGTGCACTTCTGGCCGCCGGCTGGTGGGAGCGCCCGGTGAGAGCAGGCCTCGCCGCCAGCAGCGCGCCCGGGGTTAGGGCCTCGGCCGCCCCTTACCCTGCGCCGGCAGGAAGTAGGCGAGGAGCACCAGGCCCGAGATGAGCACGCAGGGCACGATGATGTTGATGACGTAGAAGAGCGGTTTCCGGCGAATGATGAGCGTGTAGATAACGTCGACCACCCCCGGACCGCCAGCGGAGGCGCCGTCGGGGCGACGGATCAGCCCGGGGCAGAAGTCGATGGCCCACTCGCCGTTCTCTGCCGGGCGGGAGGCGCGGTCAGCCGGCCCGAGGGCCCGCACACCTGGGGCTCCGGGCGGAGGAGAGGGTGTGGCCGGCCTGCCCTGGCTGGTGGGGCCACGGGAGGTCTGGGCCGTCGGGGCGAAGGCGGTTCGGGCGGGGAGGGGCGCTCGGGCGCGACCGTCGAGAGTGCTTTCGGGGGAGGGGCAAGGTTAAGGCCGGCTGACGGTGTCCAGCCCCGGCCTCGATGGCCTGGGGCCCCCCACTCTGCGAATCCCCTCCCTGGACCCCGTCTAGGGGCGGGGGTTCGGAGCAGGAGGAGGCCTCACCAGTGTAGGCCTCGGTATCGATGTCGATCTTGCTGATGGTCTCGCCGTCGTCGTCCACGGCGAAGACGAAGTCCACCTCTTCGGCGTTGTAGGTCTGCGAGCTGCGGAGCCAGGGCCGGCCCGCACGGGGGAAGCTCGGACCCGGCCCGTCCCCCGCCCCACCGCGCCGAAGTCACCCCCCACCCCCACCCCCACCCCCGCGCCGCTCGTCCCACCGGAAGACGAGAGAGCAGTTCTGCCAGTCGAAGGGGAAGTAGGTGACCTCCACGGCGCAGCTGCTCCGGTAGATGGCGGGGGGCAGCCAGCTCACGTAGCCGCCCTCGTAGACCAGCACGTTGGCGTCGTAGGCCACGCCGAACTGGCCGTCAATGCTGTGGGCCGCGGGAGAGGCGGCGTCCGCCCGGGCCCGCGACCCCCTCGCCCTCCCAGCGAGCCCAGCGCCCTCCCGCCAGGTGCAGCCCAGCCCCCAGTCCTCGGCTTGCGCCCCCCCCCCCCCCCCCCCCCGCCCCGGTGCTCACTTGTTTTCCAGAACGATCTCCGGGAGCCAGACGAGTTCCGAAGGGACCCGCAGGATCTCCACACCCCCGAAGTCGTCCTTGCTGTAGTTGAGTCGGTAATCCTGCCAGTCCTAAGGAGTGGGGATGGTCGCGCCAGTGCCCTGCATCTCCCATCTGGTGACCCCAGGAGACTGGGAGAAAGGGGCCAAGACCTCCCGCTGTTCCCCAGACTGGACTCACGATTCCAATCCAGACGCTGGTGGTGAGGGTCTCCTCTTTCTCGTTCTGCACACAAGGGTCAGGATGGTGGAAGTGGGATTCCAGAGCCAGGAGTGCAATTTCAGGCTCGGGGGTGGGGGCGGGGGTACCTTACCAGGGAGATGAGGTTGGTCAGGGTGACCTTGAGGGTGATGGTGACATTCTTTTCAGGCTCCTTCACTGGCCGGCGCTCTGGGTCATAGTTGTCGAAGAGATGGTGGTAAAGACGCAGCTCCTCGTTCTTCGCCTCACCTCCACCTGGGGATGGGGTCAAGCGGTGGGCTCGCTGCAGAGGAAGGGCTGGGGGGAGGGGCTCTCTGCTGCCTCCGGGTCTGCACAGGGCTCTGCTGCTGTGTCCCTGAGCTCTGTGCTCTTCCCTGTCTGCTGAGCCAGACACCGAGCCTGCTTCTCGGTTTCCCGTCTTTGCCCCGTCCCTGGGCGTCCCTATCCCCGTGCGTGTGGCCGACCCTTGTCCCTACCGAGGAGCTGCAAGAGGAGCAGGGTGCCCAGCAGAGCCCCCGCCATCGCGCTGTCGGGTCCTCGGGGTTATTCTGAGCCCTGGCAGGCTTTAAGGGGGCAGGCCAGGGTGTGGGAGGGAGGGAGGGGGGGTGTTAGTTCCGGGCTGGGTTAGGGGACGGTCACCTAATCCTCTTCCCACCGCTACTGCAGCCAGAGACATTTGGCTGCTCCCAGAGGCAGCTGCCCCATCCCAGCATCTTTTGCCCGCTGCTTGGCCGGCGCCGCGGCCACAGACCCGACCCTCTTATGGCCGGAGCAACCGGGTGCAGGTGCAGGTCCTTGAGGAGCACCTGGAACCACAAGCCTGGCGGTGGGGGAGGGGTGGCCCTGCTCTGAACATGCGCTGGTGTCCCTCGAGTAAGCCGCCCTGTGCAGGTGACACCCCTTGCCTCCTGTCACTCACGTGAACACGTTACCACCACCCCCGGCCCAGCCAAGGCCACAGCAATGCGGTTTCCGCCCGTGGAGTCTGGCGAGGTCTCCATAAAGAACTGGTACTAGGACAGGCGGCCGCAGGGGCTCACTCGGCAGGAACGCACCACCTGGCAAGGAGACCCTGCGGCAATAGGGCCGTCTTCCCCCCCCCCAGCCTAAATCCCAGGTGGGCCTCCCCGCGGCCCCTCCTGGCACCTGCCCCAGACGCCCGGTTCTCCTGGCCTCCCTGCTGCCACCGTGCGGCCACACGTGGTGATCCCGCCTGCCCGCCCCAAGCACACTTGAACTGATTCTTTTCGTTTTTATCTTAAAGTGTCCTTGGACCACCCTAGTCCATCATCTGAGGTGCTTGCTTACAATTCCTGTTCCTAGGCTCCGTCCCCAAAGAGCCCTGAGTTAGGAGGATGCCAGAGTTGGGGTGCCAGGGATCTGGTTTTTTCTTTAAGAAGCTGCCCGTGTTTGCGCTTGCACTTCCGTGCCTTGCCCATTGCGTCCTCACGCTAATCTGGGGAGGCGGTTACCGTTGTCCCGAAAGTACGAAGGAGGACTCTGGTCAGGCCCCCGGTCCCTAGAGCGGGTGGGCAGTGACGCAGGAGCTTCGGCAGTCAGCTTTACTGATCATGTACCTCGTGTTCCTTTCACACTTGACAAAACGCTTGCATGTCGGTCCTTTTGGGGTGTCCTTCCTCTACCTGTGAGGTCCCTCATCCTCGCCCCTGTGTTACAAGCAAGGACCCCAAAGGCCAGAGGGTCCACACAGCTTGTCCCATTTCCCAGGCGGCCTTGAAGCTGCTCGGTGGGCCAGATAATCTGAATATAAAATGAAATCAAGAAAGTCCTACATAAAGCCAGCAGCAGCGTATTCCTTATCTTGAAGGGAAGAAGGCCTCTTTCTTCACTCCCCTGCAGCCCCAAATCAGAGACCATAAAGAAAAACCACAAAATACTTCTGTAAGGTCCAAACCATAAACCAAAGGCAAGCAAATGACAAACCCAGAGCTGCCGACTCATCTCCTCTGTTCCTGAAAACCATCCAAGGCTCATGAGGTGGTGGGGCACCTGGGCCGCTGGGCGCCTCCCCAAGGGTAACAGCACCGATGGGGAGCGGGGAGAGACGCTTGGAGGGGGGCAGTGCTCCTGGTGTCGGAGGGGAACGCAGACCCGAACAGGAGGGCCACTGGTTCCTCAGGAGAGAGATGAAAACAGGAAGACTCCATACTAAGACTCTTCCACAGGGAGGGGCCGAAACGAGAGAGACAGAGATGGGGGAGGTAGAGGTGAGAGGGAAGGCAGAGGAGGGGGGATCTGGGGCGGCCGATGCAGCCAGGGGTTCCCCCGGCCCACACCCTCCCCAGGACGTGACCTCTTTACTCACGTGGCTACAAAGTCTGGGGGACTCACGGGTGCAGGAGAGGAGGAATGCACTCTGGCCACCTGATTCCAGGTCTCCTGTAAGTTCTCCTCTGAGAACAGACGGTGCATTCCAGGGAACCTTCCAGAACGTCGTGGGCTTGGCTCCAGAGAGAGAGGGCCATTTGGAGCATGACTGCTGCCACGCAGATCCTGCCGAGGATTCTGGAAGCCCAGGAGAACACGGTTCAGAGTCTGAGAAGAGCAACCACTAGGAATGCCCGGTTCCTCCCCAACCCCAAGAGGGGGCCATCCTCACAGGGAAAAGGCGCGAGAAGCCTCGGTGGACTCTTACCCACTGGGGATCCTCTTCCATGAACATGCAGTATCTACTCGTATTTGAAGTAAGTGGAACTCAACTATTTTTAAAAAGCCACGGGTGCGCTTCTCTGTGTATAAATTATGACTCCATTTCTAAAAGTTGAAAAAAAAATAATAAAAATAAGACCTGGGGCACCTGGGTGGCTCAGTCGTTAAGCGTCTGCCTTCGGCTCGGGTCATGGTCCCAGGGTCCTGGGATCGAGCCCCACATCGGGCTCCCTGCTCCGCGGGAAGCCTGCTTCTCCCGCTCCCACTCCCCCTGCTTGTGTTCCTGCTCTCGATATCCCTCTCTCTGTCAAATAAATAAATAAAATCTTTAAAAAAAAAACCACACACACACAATTCCTATTTTCCTTCCATGTTCACATCCTCACCTTCCCCTCCTTACAATTATGGGCACACACTTCTGACACACAGGCCATGTTCTTGGGAAGGTTTTTGTCTTGCCCGACCGTATTTTCCTTCCAAAAGTCCCCTCGGTCCCGTGATGAGATCACGAAAAAGACCCTTCGTTTGATATTCTTTGTTAGGAGAGAACTAGTCATCAAGAACGTTTCTCCTGTCAATACTCTACTCCACATCAGCGATGGCAAACAGCGGGCCTATAGTCGACTGTGAAGGATTCAGTTCTACTCGGGGCGCCTGGGTGGCTCAGCCGGTGAAGCGTCTGCCTTCGGCTCAGGTCAGGATCTCAGGGTTCTGGGATCAAGTCCCACGTCAGGCTCCATGCTCAGCAGGGAACCTCCTTCTCCTTCTCCCTCTGCTACTCCCCCTGCTTGTGCTCGCTCGCTCTCTCTGTCAAATAAATAAATAAAATCTTTAAAAAAAAATTCAATTCTACTCATTTGAACGGAAGCAACATAAAGGGAGATCCATTCACACCCATCAGGACTGACCACTGTCATGCCTTTGAAAGCTGTCTCTGTATTAAATGAATTAGATAACATGTCACATTTTGATTAAATGTGACCAGTTTTTACAGAAGACATTTGTTTTACTGATCATTTGATCCTTTCTCTTTTTTTAGTTTATTTTTAAAAGATTTTATTTATTTATTTGAGAGAGACAGAGAGAGCACAAGCAGGGGGAGTGGCAGGCAGAGGGAGAGGGAGAAGCAGGCTCCCGGCTGAGCAGGGAACCCTGATGTGGGGCTCGATCCCAGGACCCTGAGATCATGACCTGAGCTGAAGGCAGATGCTCAACCAACTGGGCCACCCAGGCATCTCCTAAGATTTTAGAGAGAGGGAGGAGAGGGAGAGGGAGAATCTTAAGCAGGCTTCACACCCAGCACGGAGCCTGACGTGGGGCTCGATCTCATGACCCTGAGATCATGACCTGAGCCAAAATCAAGAGTCAGGAGCTTAACCAACTGAGCCACCCACGCACACCCTAAAGATTTTATTTTTAAGGAATCTCTACCCCCCGTGTGGGCTCAAACTCATGACCACGAGATCAAGGGTCACACGCTCCACCTACGGAGCCAGCCAGGCGCCCCCTTGTTTGATCCTTTCTATTTAATAGCATGTAAAACTGATTTTTAAAGGGAAGATATGATCAAAGTTACACTGATTTTCTCCCTGTGGCCTAAAAGCAGAGAACACATATTCCTGCATTTGACTGTTAATTTTTTCAGCCACATCATTGTAAACATGGGGAGAGCCTTTGTTGGACAAGAATCTGAAACAGGAGATTCTCACCGCTTTATCCCAAGGCTGGGTTTTTAAATTCATTTTATTCATTCGTTACTAAAAATAAGTGCCACTTTATATGTGGAAGGTGGGGAGGGGTGATATCAGTAAAAGTAGAAAGAAGCAGTTACAAAGCTCAGCTAGTGATGTCCATGTAACAAAAGACCCCCCCCCCCACCTACTGATGCCCCGGAGGCTTTATAGGTGATTTCTACCAAACGTTCCTTCGGATCATCTAATTTCCCACAAGTTCTTCCCCAAAACAGAAAAAGAAGGCAAGCCAACTCATTTTAGGAAGTTCCGACTTCAGCGAAGGACACCACAGGTCTCATTCACTTATGAACATAAACATGAACATCCTACATACAATACGGGCCAACCACATCCAAAAGTTGATTGCAAAAGAAACCGTCCAGCCTGATTACATCCAGCATGTCCCACAAATGCAGGGGTGACATGCATTCTTTCCTCCCAGTGGAACCCCATCTTGTTGAGGGCAGCTGCGCGTGCCCAGCCAGAAGCACCGTGACCCATTTCTGACCAAGGTCTCTAGAAGTCTGCAAGGGGCCAGGGCTGCCAGCAAAGTCTGTCCTTTGCTGGTAAAAGGAGAGTCACCTAAGGTAAAGTGTTTTTGTGCTTTTGCTCCTGCTCCTTCCCTTCCACCACTGGATTCATGCCTTTGAGGTGGCAGCCATGTTGCCACCATGAGGTGACTGGGCTGAGGACAGAAGGCCAGTGTGCCAGAAATGGCCCATTAGAAGGATGGGCTCCTTCCTACTGAATGACGCCATTGAGCTACCAGACCAGCCTGGGAGGGCCCATCTCTCTGCTGGTTGAGAAGTTAATGGCCGTGGGGGGGACCAGCATCTGGCTCAGTCAGAGGAGCATGCAGCTCTTGATCTCGGGGTCGTGAGTTTGAGCCCCACGTTGAGCATAGCGATTACTTAAATAAATAAACTTAAAAAAAAAAAGTTAATGCCCTTGGGTTTTCACAAAGCTTTGCTGGTATTCTGTGACACGCAGCTGAGACCATTTCTACCAATTCAAATGGTTTATCATCAGAAAGTCTACCCATATTATTAACTGCGCTAGTGGATTCACAGAGAAAGACCCCCACGCTTCTTTGATTAGAAACAGGAAAACCCACAGAGTGTAGTGTATAATGTCAGCTTTTAAAAACTTCAGAAAACAACATCCTGAACTTAAGCAAACCACTGGAACCAAGAGGAGAGCCAGGGACTTTGCCGGATGCTAGAAACACTTATAAATGCCACTCGCTCTCCTCAGTACTGGCAATAATCAGCTTGAAGCTATAGAAAACAAACTATCACAACAGTAACAGAATCTATAAAGTATTCAGAACTAAACCTCGCTTATTTTTTTAGAGATTTATATATTCCTTTGAGAGAGAGGAGGAGAGAGAGAGAGAAAGAACAGGGGGACAGAGAGAGAATCTCAAGCAGACTCCAAGCTGAGCGCAGAGCCTGACATCAGGCTCGATCCCACGACCCTGAGATCACGACCTGAGCCGAAACCAAGAGTCGGACGCTTAACTGACTGAGCCACCCAGGCACCCGAGAACCAAAATTTATTAAGGATGTTCTTCACATTTATGTAAAACCTTTATGGAAAAAAACGTAAAACCGTTAAAGGCCATAAAAGTTCAGTGTAAATGGGGAGATAAACCCTTGGTTTGGATGCGCCGACTCAACATTATAAAGATGACAGTTCTCCCCCAAATAATCTGCAAGTTAAATGCTTAGGAACTTGAGGAGGAACTCATTCTAAAATGTTCCTGACAGTCTAGAGGCACCTGGCCGGCTCATTCGGCAGAGCGTGTGACTCTTGATCTCAGGGTTGTGAGTTCGAGCCCCACGCTGGGTGTAGAGATTCCTTAAATAAATAAACTTTTCTTTATATAAAAAGATGGAATGTTTATGATAGTAAAAAGGTCCATGAATAGCCAAAGAAAAGGGGAAGGACTCACCCTGCCGGATATTAAAACACACCACGGAAGTCAGAGCAAACAAGTAACAACAAACTCATACACGAAATACACAAAGACACAGCTATGGCGTATTTCTTCGTTGCTGACAAACTGTGGGAAGCCAGTAGGAGCCGCCCATGCCCACACGCAAGAGCGGTTATGGGCCAACAGTGGAGTGACATCAGGAAGGACAGGTTGGATCGGCAGACAGGGCAAGCAGCTCCCTCCCTCTAGGGAGGAAAAAAAAAGAAAGAAAGCTGTATCCCTAAGTCCCACCACACGCAAAAGTAAACTCCAGGTGGAGGAAAGACTTTAAAACAACGGGAAACCTGGGCGCCTGGGTGGCTCAGATGGTTAAGCGTCTGCCTTCGGCTCAGGTCATGATCCCAGGGTCCTGGGATCGAGTCCCGCATCAGGCTCCCTGCTCACCGGGGAGCCTGCTTCTCCCTCTGCCTCTCTCTCTGTGTCTCTCATGAATAAATAAATAAAATCTTAAAAATAAAAAAATAAAAATAATAAAATAAAACAACGGGAAACCTAAGGCCAACAGAGGAGAATGGGGACGAGTATTTTTGTGACCTTGGGTGGGATTCTCTGAAACAAGATACCAAGACCACGAACCATAAAAGGAAATGTTGATGGCCTGAATACATTACAGTTAAGAATTTCTGCTCAACAAAGGACATCACACCCTCCCCCTGGAGCCTGCTGACTGCCAAGCTTGGGACCAGGGACCAGCGACCAGCTCGGTTGAGCGAGGGAATGGGGAGGGGGTATGTTCTCCAGCAGTGGTGTCTTTCAGCAAGCGTGCAGGTAGGACTTTGGCGGGCTCACTGGTAAAGCATATCAATGTGAGGCAGGAGACACAGGGAGAGAAGCCAAAGGAGGCATCTTACTGGGTGCGGTCATTCCTCTTCAGTCCACGGAACAGTGTCCACCCCTTCAGTTTGCCCAAGTTTGCCACCTGGAGGGGTGGACGGATGTTAAAACAAAGCATCACGATCGCTTTGGCAGGGCTGTAGGCATTTACAATACAGCAACTAATCCAGCCTAGAGAGCTCAAAGACCAATCCCCCTCCTGGAATTCCCAGAGCTGGAGCCATCATATCCACCATGGCCCCACTGAGGGGCCCATCCTTAGAGCCCAAGAGACCCCTGGAGGCGGCCCAGTTAGTGGCTTCCCCAGGCCAACACCGGGTGGAAACTCTGTCCCACCTGATGACACCCGGGATCCGTTCCGTGAATCCCCGCTTCTGATTCTAATGTTTTTGTTTTAGTCGGGTTCTTCCGGCTACAGGGGAAAGGAATACATTTAAATCACCTAAAAAGAGGGGCGCCTGGGTGGCTCAGATGGTTAAGCGTCTGCCTTCAGCTCAGGTCATGATCCCAGGGTCCTGGGATCGAGCCCCACATGGGGCTCCTGGCTCAGCGAGGAGCCTGCTTCTTCCTCTCCCTCTGCCTCTCTCCCTGCTCATGCTTTCTCTCTCTCTGTATCTCTGTGTCTCAAATGAATAAATAAATAAAAAATAATAAATTTAAATAAATAAATAAATAAATAAATCACCTAAAAAGAGTTTCTCAACCTTCCCGGCGATAATCGAATCCTGCAAGGGTCATTGATGGGTGCTGCAATTTATAGGCCACGGTTTAATTGGGAACAGGATATTTACATGGCATCAAAATATCTCCCCACAAAAGTGCTTCTTAGCGACAAAAGGAAACACAGGATCTGGACCATGGGAAAGCACGGTGGATTCCACCTTAACCACGTAGCAGAGTGATCATGGCCAGAACTAGGTCAGATTGATACGAAGTGTTTCCGGATATGATTGTCCCGAGAAAGCCACCTCACTTCTGTGATACTGAAACACACCAACCACGAGAAACGTCACACAGACGGAGGGAAATTCTACATAATCGAGGGACATTCTGTGCAGTTACTGGACTGTGGTTTTCAAAAATGTCAAAGTGCAAAGAATAAAGGCAGTTTAAGGAACTATAGGAAACCAAAGAGCTGTGGTCCCGGGTGGGACCCTGGGACATTTTTTGGACAGTGAGCAAAATGGGAACACGAACTGTAGACTGGATAATACTCGTGCATCCATACTGAATCTCCCGAAATTCATAAGCAAACTGCAGTTATGTAAGAAAATGTCTTTGTTTTTAGGAAATCCACATGGAAGTGTGAGAGGCAAAGGGGCACGATGTCTCCACGTTCGTCTCAGTTCAGGTAGTAACACTTGAGAAAGAGTGATAAAGCAAACAAGACAAAATGTTAACAAATGGTGAGTCTGGCTCAGGTTGATACATAAAATTAACCCTCACATGGTATGTTTGTTGCCAACTGTGAGAAATTGAGTAGTTACCAGTAAAAAGTAGCCAAAGCCACCAGGGAGATTTCTGCTTCTGGGAAGATGGGGTGGATGTGCTTTTCCCCTGTTCGGCCCATTAAGTCCAACTAAACTCCGGAACATTCTATATAAACATAAGAGGTGAAGGAGTCAGCAATTAGAACCGAATAGACAAAATAATAATAGACAAAATAATAATGATAATAATACCCCAACAAAAGCCTGCTCTCTCTAGCCAAAGGACCAGGGGAGGGGTAGCCTAACAAGGCAGAACTTGGAAAATACAGGGAGCCTGGGTGGCTCAGTCGGTTAAGCGTCTGCCTTCGGCTCACCTCATGATCTCAGGGTCGCCGGATGGAGCCCCACATTGGGCTCCCTGCTTGGCGGGGAGTCTGCTTCTCCCTCTCCTTCTGCCTGCCACTCGCCCTGCTTGTGCCCGTTCTCCGACAAATAACTAAACAAACTCTTAAAAAAAAAAAAAACAAAACTCGGAAAATCACCACTCTATTCCAGACAAATACCACAAACTGTGGCCACACCCACACCTGCAAAGGCCAAAGGGTGAGCCCAGATTTCCACCCTCCTCAGGCTTGTCATGAGTCGCCCCAACATCCCTGCCGGGGAGGGGGGCTCTCTGGGAAGGCCAAGCAGGGGAGCGGGGACTCTGCCCGAGCCAGCGGGGAACCACAGGGGGGACTTGAACTTCGAACGCCGCCTGGCGGCGCCTTTCCTCACCAGGGCGGTGTTAGAAAAAGCCAGCTAGAACAGAAGGTTTTAGACCCAGACTCTCATCAAATAATACAAAAATGGCCATGTTTCCATTAAAAAAAAAAAATCATTACTCATACCAAGAACCGCAAAGACCTTGAGATGAATAACAAAGACAACCAGCGGCTGCCAACAGCCAAAGGACAGAGGTGTGAGGATTCTCTGGAAAATATTTTAAAGCAGCCACGATAAAAATGCTTTAACAAGACGTTATGGATACGCTTGAGACAGATGCAGACCTGACTTCAGCAAAAGCATAGAAGATCTAAAGAAGGACCAGAGGGAGACTGTAGAGCTGAAAGGCAGGACAGCTGAAATTAAAGCTCAGGGAGTGGGCCCCGCAACACAATGGAGAGAACAGAGAAAAGAATCAGTGGGCTGGAAGATACAACTATAGAAATCACCCTTTCGGAACAACAGAGAGAAAACAGACTCCTAAAGGCGGGGGGCGCCCGGGTGGCTCAGTCGGTGAAGCATCTGGCTCTTGATTTCAGCTCAGGTCAGGACCTCAGGGTCCTGGGATCAAGTCCACATGGGGACTCTACTTGTCCCTCTACCCTCTGGTCCTATCCCCTTTTCCACTTGTGCTCTCACTCTGTCTCTAAAATAAATAAATCTTAAAAAAGGAAGTCTCAGGAAGCTCTGGGACTCTAATAAAACATCTGCCATGTTGAGCTGGGAGCCCCATGCAGGACTCGATCCCAGGACCTGGAGATCATGACCTGAGCCAAAAGCACACACTTAACCATCTGAGCCACCCAGGTGTCCTGAGAGACTACCCAAATTTGTAAAGAAACATAAACAGACATGCAAGAAGTCGAGCAAACCCCAAATAGAACAAACCCAAAGAATAACACAAAAAGAGGCACCTGGGTGGCTCGGTCGGTTCAGCATCTGACTCTTGATTTTGGCTCAGGTCATGATCTCAGGGTTGTGAGATTGAGCCCCGCATCAGGCTCCACTCTCAGTGAGGAGTCTGCTTGAGATTCTATCCCTACCCTTCCCCCTGCTCATGCTCACTCTCTCTCTCTAATAAATAAATAAAAAATAAATTAAAAAAAAAAAAAGAATAACCCAAAGATAAACTCCCCAAAACAAACACACAACTACCATATGACCCAGAAATTGTACCCCTGGACATTTTCCCAGGGAAATGAAGACTGATGTTCACACAAAAATCTGTACACTAATGTTTAAGGCAGATTTATTTATAACAGCTAACAACTGGAATCAGCCCAGATGGCCTTCAGTTATTGAATGGTTAAACTGTGCTACATCCATGCAATGGAATACTACCCAGCAATGAAAAGAAATGAACTACCAACACACGCTACAAACTATGAATCTCCACAAAGTATGCTGAGTGAAAAAAAGCCCACTCCCAAAGGTCATATTCTGTATGATCCCATTTATAGAACATTTTCTTAAAGATTTTATTTATTTATTTGACAGAGAGAGACACACAGAGAGAGGGAACACAAACAGGGGGAGTGGGAGAGGGAGAAGCAGGCTCCCTGCAGAGCAGGTAGCCCGATGCGGGACTCGAACCCAGGACCCCGGGATCATGACCTGAGCTGAAGGCAGACGCCCAACGACTGAGCCACCCAGGTGCCCCTATAGCACATTCTTGATGCAACAAGATTATAGAAATGAAGAACAGAGCAGTGGTTGTGGATAAAGGGTACACAGGATCTCTCTCTTATTTCTTACAATTGCACGTGAATCTAATGTTTAAAAATTCACCTGAAATTTAAAAAATACCTTTGCAGACAACTCTACTTAAAAAAAAAAAAAAAGAAAAATGGAAAATATAATCTTTACCTCTTTTTTTTTTTTTAAGATTTTATTTATTTATTTGAGAGAGAGAGAATGAGAGACAGAGAGCATGAGAGGGAGGAGCGTCAGAGGGAGAAGCAGACTCCCCGCTGAGCAGGGAGCCCGATGCGGGACTCGATCCCGGGACTCCAGGATCATGACCTGAGCCGAAGGCAGTCGCTCAACCAACTGAGCCACCCAGGTGCCCTAGTCTTTACCTCTTAAAGCTCATTATGTTGCAAGTAAATATCCCAGTACCAATTGTTTTTTTTAAAGAAATAAGCAGATTTTTGGCTCACAGAACTTCACAATTGGTTTGATACAGCATCTCAGTGATGCCAATGGTTTCTTCCCATTTTCTTTTTATGCCTTCTCTGACATTAGCTTCATCCTAAGACCACAGCCCTTGTGATCACAAGGTGGATGCCTACAGCTCATCTGGGGTTACATATTTCCTGTCCACATCCAGAGAAAGTATGCTTTCTTCAACCATCCCACGAAGTCTTGGGCTTTGTTATGGAAAGGACCCACTGACTTTGTTTCTGTCCCTGGGCCAGTCTCACTCTGACCACGGGATACTCTGACCAGCTTATATCAGGCTACTTGTCTGGGACCTAGTGGTTGGCTGAGGTCCACTTATGCAGCTGGGATAGAATCATTCCCACCAAGAATCCCAAGGATGGAGTAGGAGTAATTTTCCAAAAGAAAAAAAAAAAAAAGAAAAGTTGAATGGATCCTCCAACTAATGTCTCCTGCACCAACTCTTTAAAAATGAACCACAGGTAGAACATTGAATTGGACTCTTTGGATGAGATCAACTCTGCCTGACTTACTGCAATAGAGACTTGTTGGAAAGATGCGGGACTCACTGGGTACAAGTGAACGTGGACAGTCCAGGATTGCCTGGGAATCAGGTAGCAATGGGGCCTTTGTAGGAGGAACCACTCTACACTTTTCCTGAACACTTTCTTTTTTTTTTTTTTAAAGATTTTATTTATTTATTTGACAGAGAGAGACACAGAGAGAGAGGGAACACAAGCAGGGGAGTGGGAGAGGGAGAAGTAGGCTTCCCGCCAAGCAGGGAGCCCGATGCGGGGCTCGATCCCAGGACCCAGTGATCATGACCTGAGCCGAAGGCAGATGCTTAACTGACTGAGCCACCCAGGTGCCCCTCCTGAACACTTTCTTGAAATGAATGCTGTCCAGTTCTATTTTCTCTTTTCTTGTCACCACATTCACCATTTGAAATCCTAGGACAAGGGGAACAGTTGTCCATGATTAGGTTACATCCCGGAGCTAAACTCAGGTGGAGACAGGAAGTACCCGGTGGAAGGAACTTCCAAAGACATTTGGGTTTCCAAAGTGAGAGGGCAGCGTGCCTACTTCTATACTCCTATCAAGTCTGTACTCGTCTGAGGAGATGAAGTCTCCCAAAAGGAAACTGGGGTCCTCTTATCCGAGAGGAATGGATGCTGGATAAAAAAAAATTACACATATTCCCCTTAGGTATTACATGATAAAACATGTTAAGTGGCACAAAGCAGTACTAAGATGAAAAGTATGAATTAAGTGGATTTACCTGAAAAGCAAGAAAGATTGAAAATAAGTGAACTAAGACTTCAACTCAAGAAGGTAGGAAGAGAACGTGAAAATAAGCTCAAAGTAAGATTAAAGGTGGAAGCAGACATTTATCATCAAAGAGGAAAAAAAAAGCAATTGACTAGTAAAACTAATAAATCTGGTTCTTTGGGGCACCTGGGTGGCTCAGTCAGTTGAGTGTCTGCCTTCAGCTTAGGTCATGATCTCAGGGTCCTGGGATTGAGTCCCGCATCAAGCTCCTTGCTCAGCAGGGAGTCTGCTTCTCCCTCTCCTTCTGCCTACCCCTCCCCTGCTTGTGCTCTCTCACTATCTCTATTAAATAAATAAGTAAAATCTTTTTTAAAAAAACTGGTTCTGGGGCACCTGGGTGGCTCAGTCATTAACCGTCTGCCTTCGGCTCGGGTCGTGATTCCAGGGTCCTGGGATCGAGCCCTGCATCGGGCTCCCTGCTCAGCGGGAAGCCTGCTTCTCCCTCTCCCACTCCCCCTGCTTATGTTCCCTCTCGCTCTGTGTCTCTCTCTGTCAAATAAATAAATAAAATCTTAAAAAAAAAATCTGGTTCTTTGACTAGTCCAGTAAAATAGAATAATCTTTGGCAAGTCCAGTGAGGAAAAAAAGAGGGGTGGGGAGAAAGAGAGAGAGAAAAGACAAACAACATTAGGGCTCATGACTACAGAAATGGAGATTTTAACAAATGATAAAAGTATGTGTTCAAACCTGCAATAATAAATTTGAATAGCCACATGAAATATTTTATGAGAAACCATCAATTACCAAGATTGACTCAAGATCAAAATTGACCCAAGAAACCTCAACAGACCAAAAATTATAGTAGAAATTGGAAAGGTATTCCAGAAGCTATCCCCCAAATGGCATCAAGTCCAGATGGTTTTATAGGTGAATTCCACCAACCCTGCATTGAACGGAAAATCCCTATGATCTCTAATTTTTCCAGAGAATATAAAATTTTCCAACTCAATTTCTAAAGCCAGCATAACTCTGGTAACAAAACCAAACAAACAAATAGAAAAAGACAAAGCCCCTCAAAAGCAATCTACAAGCCACTTCTATTTTCTAACTTAGATGTAAAAGGTCTAAGTAAAATGTGAGCAAACCAACGTGGAATGATATTAAAAGAATAATTAATAATGGTCAAGTAATGTTAATCCCAAGCACTCAAAGATGTGAAATGAGAAAAAAAAAATTCAGAATATTAACATGTGAAGAAAGTGAAACATAGGATCATTTCAGTAGGTTCCAAAGCATATGAATCCCTTTTCTGTGTCTGGAAAAGCCTTCAATTTAGGAATATTTGGAGAAGCAGAATTGGCCTCCTATTACAAAACCTGACACCACCAGATTTGCTCTCCCAGACTTCCTTGCAGCTGGGTCACAGAAGTATGACTAAGCCAACCGATACCCAGACTTTGAATCAGGAGCTGGTACCACAAAGGAGGAGGGGATGGTCCAGGATCCTCTCTCTGCGCAGGGAGGTTGTGGTAACACCGAGTCTCTGGCTCAGCAGCTGGAGCAGTGCAGGCTTCAGTGATCTGGTCTTGGAGCGGGAGCGGAGTTTTGCTCATCAGACTGGTTCTGCAGCTTGATTCTGTTCCGGGCTACATAGTTCCAAAAGTCTGGTTCTCTGGCCTTTACTGGGAAGTCTGTAAAGTGGCCAATGTATGTTTAACAAATTCCCTTTCATCCTAAACTCGCCAGGATGTTTTTTGCTGCTTACAACGAAAAACCCTGATACCAATACACCCAACAATCAGCAGCTCCAGGGGCCCCACTCCACCTCACGGCCTCTCTCTCTCTCACACACTTCCTGATGCTTGATTCCTTGTTTTCTCCATGTTCTCAAGTACTTTTTGCAGTGGGCAAATTATATAAATGGCAAATGTACGGATTAACTGCATTGGGCTCGTGGTGAAAGGAGTAGATGGGCAGACTCGTGTGGTTGCATGACGCCCCTGCTGGGGGACAGCTGTTGGGGCATTTTGATCATTAGAAGGGGTGGTGGACCAACAGACATGGTAGTTGACTCTCCGAAATACACACCTCATTTGGTCTTGGGAAGTTCTGTTTTGAAGTAATCTCTATGCCCAACGTGGGGCTCGAACTCATGACCCCAAGATCAAGAATTACATGCTCCACCGACTGAGCCAGCCAGGTGCCCCAAGTCTTGGGAAGTCTTAAAAGGCTTTCCAGAGGAAGACATTCTGGGCTGGGACTCTCCAGATAAGTAAGAGTTGGGCAGAAGGGGGTGCGGGGTGAGAAGAGAGCCCAGGCACGAGAAAGAAATAAAATGATCTACTAGAGTGAAAGGTGGAGTGCTGAGAGATGGGGCTGGACAGGTAGGCAAGGGTCAGATCATGCAGGACCCTCTAGGCCACGTCAGGGATCTCAGAGCTATAGGGAGCCCCTGATGAGTCTCAAACAGTGGAAGGATATGAACAAATCTGCAGTTCTGGAAGACCACTCCAGTGGGGGATGGGGAGAAAGGAGGTCAGGGCATCAGGAGACCAGCTGGGAGGCTGTTGCAGTGAAGCCCTAGAGAAGAGCTGGTGTCCTGGAGTGGGAATGGTGGCAGTGGGGATGGAAAGTGGATTTCAGGAGAGATTAGGAGGTAAAATCAGCAGGACTTGGTGACAGGTTGGATGGGGGAGGAGGAGGGAAAGAGTTAAGGATGACCACTGGGGTTTCTGTTTGTATTGACTGAGTGGCTAAATGGGCGGATGATGGCCCCATTCACTGGGCTGGACAACACAGGAGGGTGAGCTATTTGGAGAGAGATGATGAGCTTAGTTTTGAACATATTGTTTTAATGCTTGTGGGACATCCAAGGAATCCAAAAGGCAGTGGGACCTAGGTGTTTGGGTCTCTGGAGAGGGGTCTGGGTCTGAGTAGAGGTGAGTCACTGGGGTGGGTGTATGGTGCTTGACAGCAAGGAAATGAATGAGGGTAATGTGAGGTGTTTGTGTAGCAGAAGAAAAGGAGAGGACCAAAGACCAAACTCCGGGGGCAGGCTGACTTTCCATGAAGGACAGAGGAAGAGGAGTCTACAAAGGCTGAGAAAGGTCAGCCAGAGAGGTAAGAGGGAGGTGGTGGCATGAGTCCCAAGACGGGAGAGGCCGTGGGTACGTAGGCTGCAGAAAACAGGATCCTAATGGAGATGTGTCCGGTGGGTGTAGAGGGGTGGGGGACACTGGTGACCTTGGCCACAACGGAGCCAGTGGGTGGGGGGAACCATGCTAGAGAGGGAGAAAGGCAGAGGGCGGTAAGGGTTAAAATTGGCAAGTGGGAAGGGCGAGTGAGTGGCAGCTGGGGAGGTTTAGAAGCCGGGGGACAGTGGTGGTTGGAGGAGTCCACTCCCAATCCGTCCTGTGTAGATGGAAAGTGGGAGAAGAGAGCCACAAGGAGGGCTGGGGACGGTTGTGGAAGGAGGTGATAAGGGCCTGTGTCCGGGAGGAACACTGCTCCCAGGTCACAGGAGGGAATCTCTATCAGGCTGGCACTTCCTCCCCATCCCCATCCCCTTCCTGCCCCTGCCCAGGCCCTCCCTGGAGCTGGAGAGAGAGGACAGAGTCACACCCTGCGAGCAGCTCTGTGCCCTCGGAGGTCCTCCTGCCTGCCTGTAAGCTGGAGTTGGGGCTGGGGGACAGGGCCGCTGAGGGAGGGAGAAGAACCTAGGACGTGGGGCTAGCAGTTTAGGCTTCTGGGGGCAAGGGCGGGAGAGGGCAGTGGGGAGGACAGGAGTCCGGGGGCTGCGTTTCTGGAGGGATCCCCGAGGCTGCAGCAGGGGCTAGAGTCTGGAGGAATAACGCCCAGTGCCCACGAGGTGCCCACGCGTGTCCCCGTGACCCCCAGGTCCCCATGCCTCTCCTCCTGTTGCTGCTTCTGCTGCCGTGCCCCTCACACCCCCAGTTGGTCTGCGAGGTCTCCAGGGTGACCAGCCAGCTGGAAGTGAACTGTGACAACAGGGGGCTGAAGGTGCTGCCTCCAGATCTGCCCAGAGACATGGCCATCCTTCACCTGGGCGAGAACCCCCTGGGCACCTTCTCCACAGCATCCGTGGCGTCTATGACCCAGCTTGCAGAGCTGTACCTGCGTCGAAGCCAGCTGACCAAACTGCAGACGGACGGGGCGCTGCCACGGCTGGAGACCCTGGACGTCTCCCACAATAAGCTGAAGAGCCTGCCCTTTCTAGGACGGGCACTGCCAGCCCTCACCACCCTGGACGTCTCCTACAACGAGCTGACTGCACTGCCTCCTGGTGCTCTGGATGGCCTGAGCCGGCTCCATGAGCTCTACCTACGCGGCAACAAGCTCAAGACTCTGCCCCCGGGGCTCCTGAGGCCCGTGGCCCAGCTGAGGAAGCTCAATCTGGCCGACAACAAGTTGAACGAGCTGCCCCCGGGGCTCCTGGATGGCTTGGGGGAGCTCGACACCCTCTACCTCCAAGGGAACTGGCTGCGCACCATCCCAAAGGGCTTCTTCGGGGACCTCCTCCTGCCTTTCGCTTTTCTCCACAACAACCCCTGGGCCTGTGACTGTGAGATCCTCTATTTCAGCCGCTGGCTGCAGGACAACTCCAATAACGTCTACTTATGGAAGGAGGGAGTGGACGTCAAGGCCATGACTCCCAACGTGGCGAGCGTGCGATGCGTCAACTTGCACAACACACCCGTCCACACCTACCCGGGGAAGGGCTGCTCCATTCTCGGGGATGGGGTTGACCTAGGCTATGACGACTACGACGAAGAGGAGGAAGTGGGAAAAGTACCCGCCACCAGGGCCGTGGTCAGCTTCTCCACCAACACCAGAGCCCACACAACCCACCGGGCCCCCCTCCACTCAGCACCCACTGCTTCTCCAGACCACCAGATGCCCCATCTGTCTTACACCCTCGAGTCCACGAAGAAACAGAGCAGATTCCCAACCGCCCCAGAGCCCAGCACGTCCCATCCCCCGTCCTCCAGCATGCCCCACTCCACAACATCCACCATGACCATGACCACCCCAGAGCTCAGGCTCCCCACCAGCCTGGAACCCACGACCCCCACCACTCCGGAGCCCACCACGACCCCCACCACCCAGGAGCCCACCACGACCCCCACCACCCCCGAGCCCACCACGACCCCCACCACCCCCGAGCCCACCACGACCCCCACCACGACCCCCACCACCCCCGAGCCCACCACGACCCCCACCACCCCCGAGCCCACCACGACCCCCACCACCCCCGAGCCCACCACGACCCCCACCACCCCCGAGCCCACCACGACCCCCACCACGACCCCCACCACCCCCGAGCCCACCACGACCCCCACCACCCCCGAGCCCACCACGACCCCCACCACCCCCGAGCCCACCACGACCCCCACCACCCCCGAGCCCACCACGACCCCCACCACCCAGGAGCCCACCACAACCCTAATCCTCTCTGAACTGACCACATCTGAGATCCCAGAATCAACCTCATTCCCTACTACTTTGGAATACCCAACCACCACCTCCTCTGTCTACCTCCCAGAGGCCCACGAGGTGGTTCAAGGGAATTTGGAGAGCTCCAAAAATGACCCTTTGCTCAACCCTGACTTCTGCTGTCTCCTCCCCCTGGGCTTCTATGTTTTGGGTCTCCTCTGGCTTCTGTTTGCCTCTGTGGTCCTTATCCTGCTGCTGGCTCGGGCCCGGCCCGCGGGGCCACAGGCCCTGGCCACAGCCACACACACCGCCCATCTGGAGCTGCAGAGGGGAAAGCAAGTGACCCTGCCCCGGGCCTGGCTGCTTTTCCTTCAAGGCTCACTCCCCACTTTCCGCTCCAGCCTCTTCCTGTGGGTACGGGCTGATGGCCACGTGGGGCCCCTGCGGGCAGGACGGTGGCCCTCTGCCCTGAGTTTGGGTCGGGGTCAGGACCTGCTGGGAACAGTGGGCGTCAGGTATGCTGGCCACAGCCTCTGAGGGGGGTGGTTTGGGGACCTGCAGAGGCCGTGACGGGCTTCCGTACTGGGATCTAGCTGGGGGTGGGCGGGCAAGGAGCACAAGGTCAGGGGAGACGTAGTCACTTTTCCTTTATCAGAAGCCTCTTGGTACCACACGCACAACCTCGGCGAAGCAGCAGGGGTGGAGAGGAGCAGGGCGGGTCATAGAACAAAGCTCCCTCTGCTGCAGGAGGGGTTCACAAACCACTAGGTCGTTACCATCACCTTGGGGGAAGTTTGAGGAAAAGCGAAGGGAACAGAGCAGGATTCTCAGACGCGTGTACCGGAGGGAACCAGCAAAGAGCTGTATCAAGATGTGAGCCCTGATCGTCCCTGCGGAGCACAAACATGGTGGTTTCCTTTTCTTTTCCTCCGTTGAGCATTTTCTAGTTTTCCACCGTTGTATATTATTTGTAGAATAAAAAGGTAACTTCAAAAAAACTGAGTTTCCTTTGGAGACGAAGAGCGTCCAGGGCACTTGTCATTCGCACGTCTGAAGCCCCACCTGCCCCCACCCGAGTTGGATCACTCGCCCACAAACGCTCACCAGCCTGCACCCCCGGCCTGGGGTGCCCCCTCTCCTCCTGCGCCACCGCTCACCAGGCCACCGCAAGCCCCAGGACCAGATCCAACCCACAGGGTTCCCTGGAGCAGCCCCTGCCGCGGCGTGCCTGCCCGGGCCGCCTAGGAGCCAAGGTGGGCACCTGCCCGCACCTGCGGCCTCCTGCCCTGCCCAGGCCAGCGGCCCAGTGGGTGGGCCTGACGGCGTGGGCCATCGTGGTGGGTTCTACTCATCGCCGAGCCGTCCCAGTCAGGTGTCCTGCTCGCATACTAGAACCTGCTTCTCCCCTGCTCCCCTAGACTCTGCCATTTCCCCTCACCGCACCGAGTGGTCTGTCTTTCCTGTGGTGTCTCCAGCCCAAACCAAGGCTGGGGCCACAGAGAACGGGAGTGAAAGCTGAGCCTCCCCGGCTCTAGAACCCCCTTCTCCAGGTGGCCGGGGCCTCAAAGCCCGACTGCACCTGCCCTGCTTGGAAGTCTCCCCTGGAAAGAGGACAAATCTGGAGCTTGACCATTAAGGGCTTCTATGCACTCACCCGGCTGACGTCCTACAATGGGTTCTCCATGTCCCATGGTCCGCCGCTGCAAGCTTTGAGATCACCTGCCCCTCTCCTCCCCCGCCAACCCCGGGTTTCCCCTCCGAGGCTTCGCTCTCCTGTCCAGCAGGTGTGCCGCCCCATCCATCTGATGGCCACCAGCACGGCTCTCTCCTCCAGGCAGGGCCGGGGGCCCCGCATCACCCTGCAGCGGTCCCTTGCTCCACTCCCGCCCCCACCTGCCCCTGGGCCATCTTTCCCTCTGGATCTGGAACCTCTTAAGGATAAGGCCCAGGCTCCTGGTGTCTCAGAGTGGCCACTGTGGCCCAGGCCGGCAAGCGCCAGGAGTGGGTACGAGGAGGGGCAGAGGTGGGAAGGCCCAGCCGGGGCGCCGGGCTGCCGAGCTCCTCCTCTTCTCCTCCTGAGGAGGCTCTGCCAAGGGGACAGTTCCCACCTGCCGCCTGCCTGTCCCTGGCCAGGCTCACAAGACTTTCGGCCTCACGCTGCCCAGCTCTCCTTCCAGTTGACCTTCCTGTGCCCTTTGACGCTCCAGGAGATTTTTGGAGACACATCACTCTCCGCAGAGTGGGGCTCGGATCAAGTCTCTGGCCGACGTCCCCCCCCCCCCAGTTTCAAGTCTCCTGGCTCTGGGCACCTGCCCCCATGGCTCAGCCTTCCCGTCTCAGACTGTCCCCTCCTCTGCCCAAGTCACCAGGCCGCGGAGGCTTTTCCTGGGGATCCCATGAGATGACCCACGCCCCCGACATTCTTGGGCAAGTGGCTGGGAAGCAACACGCGGGGCGCGCGCATCAGTTTTCCTTACCTGTCAGTTGCTGCCACCACACCAAGACCGACTGACGTAGCGTTTGCGTAAAACGGGCAAGTGCTTTTCCTTTAATACCTTTTCTTTAAAACTCCAGTTCCTGTGTTCCTGGGACCTCTGCCTCCTTGTCCAGCTGCCTCCCCTCCCGCCCCTGCAACTATACAGATCTGGGGGTGCTGTCACCAATCCAATTTATTGATCACGTCGTCAGTGAGGTGGAGAATCACATCCTCCCGCTGCAGGCCTTTTGGCCACCCTGACAGCTTCTGCTGCCTCCTGTCCCCTCAGCCCTGCCTTAGTTTACCCACTGAGAAGGAGGATCTTTCGCGGTCCTACGTGCCCGAAACCAACACCCCAGAGGAGGCCGGAGAGCTTCAGGCAGTTTCCCAGACACTACCCCCACCCCCCAGCCGAGACACAGCCAGGGGCAGAGAGGTCATGAGGATCAGGACAAGGAGGGCAAGGTGGCGCAGGGGTAGGACAGACCATAGTCCTTTACCGCAGAGGAGGGAACCACACCATGGAGGGAAAATAAATAGAGGGGCCCAGGGCAGCAGAGTCCAGGCCCCCGGGGGCACACTGACTGTGGGAGCAGCGGGTAAGGGGGAGCCCTGGCACCCCGGTCCCTCGCCTGCCTCAGCCACTGAGGAAGAGACGCTTGTAGGCCTTGTTCATCTGCTCCAAGAAGATGAAGGTGAGGACGGTGTGGGGGCCCAGGCGGGCATAGTACGGTGTGAAGCCCTTCCACAGGCTGAAGAAGCCCTCGTAGCGGACAACCTTCACCAGCACGTCCTAAACAGGCAGGCAGGGCGCCGGGGCTGGGACCTGGCTTCCAGGGCCATGTCCGGCTTCCCCACGGCCCTCCCTGCCCTCCCAGAGCGTCCCATCCTCCAGCCCAAGCCCTCAGCCCCACTTCCTCACCAGCCCGTTCTTGTATTCCGGCTTCCCGTCAATCATCCTCATGTTCTGGATCCTGCAGGAGAGGAGGCAGGGGCATGAGAGACACAAAGCAGGCCCTCCCGTCCGTTCCTGGGCCCCGGCCCGCACACTCACCGGGTCTTGACGATGTCCACCGGCATGGAAGCAGCGGTGGTGACCAAGCCGCTGATCATGCTGGCACAAAAGTGGCACAGGATGTTGTCAGAGAAGTAGCCTGGGGGAGGCGAAGCAGGGACGGCGGTCAGCGCGGAGTTGGCCCGGGCCCGGCCGGGGGTCCCTGTTCCGGGGCTCACCTGAGTCCAGCAAGAACTGCTTGGATTGGGAGTAGGAAGCGAGCTGGGCCGCGTTGACCACGACAGCGCGAGCCATGGTAGGGATGCAGCCCTGCAGGGGTGGGGATGGGGGGGTGTGCTGTCAGACACGGCCAAGACCTGCCCCTATAAGCCCCCAAAGTCTCCACCCCTTCACTCACCCTCCATAGTGTGGGGACCCCTTCCTCCCGGGCGATTCGAATCAGAGCATTAAACACATTTTTGTAGCCACGGCGCTGGTCAGGAGGAAGCCTGGTGGGAAGGCGGGGAAAGGCCAAGCTCAGGATAGACCACCCTGCCCCACAGGAGCAAAGAAAGGGGGGCCAGAACACAGACATTAATGCTCTGCTCCACACCAGGGACACGCAGTCCTCTGATTCTAAATCCCAGGGAACGGAGCTGGGGCAGGCTCAGACCTGGAACTCACCGGCCATCGGCGGTCATGCGGATAAGAGCCACCTCAGCTGGTGTTCCCACAAAGGCCCCAGTCGCACCTGCAGTCATGCCAATCAGGGCCTTCAGCAAAAAGCCAGGGGGTGTACCGTCAGCCCCAGTCAGACGCTCAAACAGCACCGTGTAGATGCCAAGGCGGGTGGTGGTGTAGGTGGCCTGGCGCAGCAGGCCAGCCGACAGCCTGGGGAGCGAAGGGGTCTGTGCGTCAGGCCGGGGTCTGGAGCTGCCAACCCATCCCCAACCCCACCCCCCGGCCACATCAAGTGGCTGCAGTACCCAGTGTAAATGCCCCTCAGCCCTTCTGCCCTCAGGATGCTGGTGAGGGCATGGAAGCTGGTTTTGTACTCTCGCGTCTTGGCTCCTTCCCCGCTCAGCTGCATCCGGTTCTTCACCAGATCCAGCGGCTGCACAAACACGGTGGCCCCCATCCTGGAGAAAGACAGAAGCAGAGTTCAGGGCCGAGTGTCCCCTGACTACCCTCCAGTGCCCACCGGAACCTGGCAACGAGGAGTCACAAAGCGCCAGGCCTGCCCGGTGATGAACCAAGTGTTCAGGAGGCTAGTGGCTACGTGTGTAAGTCTCCGCCGGGGCCAAGAGTCATCGGTCTGAAAAGTCCAATGGTCCCGCGGGGGGCCGTGCAACGAAAGCGCTCCACGCAACTCCCAGGGGGTCAAGCAGGGATCTAGAACTGCCCGCAGTCCACCCCAGAGAGAGGAAGTGGGCATTCGTGACCTGGGGCCTCACGTAGCCCGACAGGAGCCATGCGAGGACCTGCAACCCCACACGACCCGGGAGAGCTAAGCAATGGGCCTGCACGCGGCCCAGCGGGGGCCCCGCGATGGGTGAAAAGGTCCTGGCAGCGCATCAGGGACCTCGGCAATACGCCTGGGACCGCGCTGACCCCGTGCCGGCTCGGCTCCCTGCACCCGTCCCTTCCTCCTCCCTTCCCAACCCTGGGGCCTGAGCTTACCCGGCCAGGCCCCCAAACAGGAACTTGACGGACTTCGGGGACGTGCGGGGCTTCGCGTCCATCCCGCCGGCCCCGGGACTCGCCGTGGCCGCCATCGCCGCTCAGGGGCCCTCGGCTCCGGGTCCTGTGCGCGCGCGGCCCCACTCGCGCCCAAGGTGACACCGCGCGCGCAACAGGGCCGAGGGCGCGCGCGCACGCCCCTCCGGCTCTCGGGGCCGGCCCCAGCTGGAAGCCGGCGCAGGCGCAGGCGCGCGGCGCAAAGGCGGCCGGGAGGAAGGCGGGGCCGGAGGCGGGGCCTCGAGGAGCGCTGCGGGAAGGGGTGTGGCTGGCTTAGGAAGCCATAGTTTAGACGCACTTTCCGCCGAATTGGATTCGCGAGAAAATAAAGAGGGTGTCAGGAGATCTCGCGAGACAGAGTGAGCAGCGGGGGAAGCCGGGGCGGTTCTCTCGCGATAGGCGCCGCAAGCGCCCGGCCGGTGGGAGGGAAGGTGTGGGGAGGACTCTCGCGAGACCTGAAGGTCCCGCAGCCGCGGCGGCGGCCAGAAAGGGTGGAGAGGTTTGTGAATCGGGCGGCCCCAAGATCCCGGGCGTGAGAGGGGGAGCGACTGGGTCGTTTGCTCGGGCTTCGGCGCTCGCTGCATCTGCAGACGCACTCCCGCCGCCTCTAACCTTTCTTTCAACGGGCCTTTTAGGACCGGAAGTCCTTCCTCCTGAGCGCCCAGGGCTGGAGGCGGCTGGCCCTGCCTTCCCGGAAGCCCTTTCCCCGCAGTGAGGAAGACAGCGCACCTGCCCGGAAGTCCCGCCCCCCCGAGCGCCCCCACCCTCCCAGAAGTTTTTCTGTCACCTGTGCTTGCCGCGGTCCCCGTTCCCGGCTTCGTCCCTGCACCCGAGAAGCATACATTGAGTGCCTCTGTCCCCGCCCCATAGCCGGGCTGGGCCCCCCGCTCCCGGACTCGGGGCTCCTCCCCCGCGCCCCCATGTAGCTGGGAAGTGGGGCCTGGGGGCGGTTGGACCCCTGGGAGCCTGAAGGAGGGGCGGAGAGGGCGCAGCACCCCGCTTCTGCTCCCGCCGGCGGGGCGCGGCCGCCTCGGCCTCTCGCCGCCCGCTGCCATGCACCCCGCGGCCTTCCCGCTTCCCGTGGTGGTGGCCGCCGTGCTGTGGGGCGCGTCCCCCGCGCGGGCGCTCATCCGAGCGGTGAGTCGAGGGGCGGGTGGGGGAAGGGCGCGGGGGGCGGGGCTGCCGGCGCCCGGGGAACACGGGCTCTCTCGTCCGCAGACCTCGGACCACAATACCAGCATGGACTTCGCCGACCTGCCAGCGCTCTTTGGGGCCGCCCTGAGCCAGGAGGGGCTGCAGGTGATTTCCTTCCCTGGTGTCCTCGCTCTCGGGGGCGGGGGGCGGGGGGCGAGGGGCCTCGCGCCTTGCGTGACGCTGGAGGCAGGTTCGGAGCCGCGCGCAGGAGCGCAGGTAGGGCGGGATGCGGAGTCCGAGGGAGAAGACGTAAGGTGTCCTGCTGAGCAAGCCTGGGCCCTCCGGAGGGGCGCTGGCGGGAGACGAAGATGCCCGCGGGGAAAGGGCCGCTTGCCAGCAGGGTCTTAGGACGTCGGGCGAGTTAATTCGCTCGGAGCCGCTGAGCTTGCTGTCCTGTACAATGGGCCGAGGGGAGTTTCCTGAGGGCAGTTGCGAGAGTCACGTTACATAAGCAGTTTTGGAGTACTTCATCACGAGGACGGCCGTTTAGCAAGCGCTCAGGGCCGTAGGTGTCCGTGTAGCTGTCGGAGGGGTGGGTGGGTGGGTCACTGACGTGGTAAAAGAGAGTGTAAGTGCGGGGATTTTCAGGGTCTTACTGGCTTTAGTCAACAGTTCATGAAGCGGGAAGCATCCCGTGTAGCAGATAGAGAGGAGCTTCGAAGAGCTGTACGGAAATGAGAAGCTCTGGTAGGCTCGAGGTGGCAGGACAAGTAAGTTATGGTAGCGGTTAGAGCGATGGTGGCAAGATCGTCTCTCTTCAAGGGAGGGCAGGGGTCTGTGGGGCAGATGACCTCGCGAGTTCTGGCCGGCTACTTCCGGATGGGCTGGTTTACAGCCCCGTTCCTGCGGGAGGCTGGAGCCAATTCAGTTAGGGGGTAAGTCTTGGCTTGGCGCTCTGGGGCTTAGCACCAGGGACTCCATTTTGGGCCTCTTGCCATCGTCTCAACAGAGGGGAGTATGTTTTGTGGCAGTGTGCTGGAGTGCTGGAGCCGGGGATGGGACACGAGCTTGAGAGGGCGCGACACGGTTGAGTGGGGAGTTAGTTGGTTTACGATCTGGGAAACCAGAAGGCAGGAGGATTCGAATGAGCGTGGAGTGTGGGGTGTAGGATCCTCTGGGACAGGGAGAGGGGTGTTGCTCGATGTCCGCACCTCTTCAGGAGGCGGACTTCTGACCGGGGTGGGATGCTCAGGGGTGAGGAAGCGAGGGACAGTGCGTGCAGCTCGGGGCCACCAGTATGCTTGGTGGGACCCTGTGGGGAGCAGAACCTAAGGAGGTGAAATCCAACTGTTGTTTGCTTCTCTTCCCCAGGGCTTCCTTGTGGAGGCTCACCCGGCCAATGCCTGCAGCCCCATTGCCCCTCCACCCCCAGCCCCGGTCAACGGGTCAGTCTTTATTGCACTGCTTCGAAGATTCGACTGCAACTTTGACCTCAAGGTTGCTGAATGTGGAGTGGGAGCTGGGAAGCTGAGGGTGACAAAAGGCACCCGGAATGAAGGGAGGCAAGGGCCACGGTGGCCCCTTATCCCCCGCCTTGTCCCCCTAGGTCCTAAATGCTCAGAAGGCGGGGTATGGCGCAGCTGTGGTACACAACGTGAACTCCAACGAGCTTCTGAACATGGTGTGGAACAGCGGTAAGGTTGGGGCACCTGGACAAGCTGGGTTTCGGTAGAGCTCAGATCGGGGCGGGCGGGGGTGGCTGAGACCTTAGGGCGCACAGGTCAGTCCTCGGGGTGGGATGGAGCGAAAGCCAAGTGCCAGGGTTAACGAAGGAGCGGAGTGGAGGGTTGGGTCCGCAGCGTCATGCACTGATCCCTGCAGAGGAAATCCAGCAGCAGATCTGGATCCCGTCTGTGTTTATTGGGGAGAGGAGCTCCGAGTACCTGCGTGCCCTCTTTGTCTACGAGAAGGGGTAGGACGCATCCCTCCTTCCCACTCTGCCTTCACTCCTTCCATGCCAGCCTGGAGCCCACGCCTCCGCGCCCTGGCCGTTCAGCCTTAGGTCCTTCTCACTCTGCCTCGAGACTTTCCTCCCACCTCCTTCCCCGTCCGTGGGCCTCGTCCAACACCAGTTACTCTGTTCCTCTGCCTTTCCTGCTCCTCTGATCCTGGTCTTCCTTTTCCCAGGGCTCGGGTGCTTCTGGTCCCAGACAATAGCTTCCCTCTGGGGTATTACCTCATCCCCTTCACAGGCATCGTGGGCCTGCTGGTTCTGGCCATGGGAGCAGTGATGGTGAGTAGCTCAGGGAGGGTGATGGGAAGAGCTGGGGCCTTTAAAGCCAGACTGGGTCTGTGCGTGGGAGGTTGGGGAGCCGGGGGGTGTCATACTGGATTTGCCCAGCTTTGTTCCCTAACTCGGATCCGTCCGTGCCCCCTTCCCCCAGGTAGTCCGTTGTATCCAGCACCGGAAGCGGCTCCAGCGGAACCGACTGACCAAAGAGCAACTAAAACAGATTCCTACACATGACTATCAGAAGGGTGAGGGGCCTGGGGAGAGACGGGGGCCTTTCCCACAGCTCACCTGGTGCTGAAGAAGTGGAGCTCAGGAGACAAGGGGCAGAGATGGGAGGTGTCAGCCTGGGATGCCAGCTCTCCTTCTTACCTTATGTACGGTGCGGTCCGGACAGGAATAGAGTGGGAGGTAGAAAGCACAGATGGTTAAACGGAAGGGTTGGGGGGAGAGCTGGAGGACTGATCTTGCCCGTAAGGGTGGTGAAAGAGCAGCGAAATGGAAGGAAGGAGTCGGGAGGAGTTGGTGTGAGAAGGAGGAAACAGGTAAGGAGGGGCTGGGTCTCTAGGCCCTGGAGCCTTCAGTGCCCATATAAGGGCTACAGCAGAAGCCCTGCCCCCCACTTCTGCCCCTCCCACTGTCTCCCCACCAGAAACCCACTTCCCTCCTAACCCCAGATTCTTCATGTTCTGCTCTGGCCTCACCCTGCCCGGTGAAATCCAGGGAGGGTAACTGGCAGGGTTCAGCTCCACAGCTCCCAGAGTCCTTGGGGGCCTTGGGCCAGGATGGCTCAGTGAGAGGACTTCCTTCCTGCCCCAGGAGACCAGTATGATGTGTGTGCCATTTGCCTGGATGAGTATGAGGATGGGGACAAGCTGAGAGTGCTGCCCTGTGCTCATGGTGAGGCCCTCACTTCCTGGCCCCCACCCCCAGCTTCCCCACCCCCGCGGGCGCCAGGTGCCTCACCTCCTGCCTCTCGCAGCCTACCACAGCCGCTGCGTGGACCCCTGGCTCACCCAGACCCGGAAGACCTGTCCCATCTGCAAGCAGCCTGTCCACCAGGGTCCGGGAGACGAGGATGAGGATGAAACTCAGGGACAAGAGGGTGATGAGGAAGGGGAGCCAGGGGACCAACCTGCCTCAGAACGGACCCCACTTCTGGGCTCCAGCCCCACACTCCCCACCTCCTTTGGCTCCCTAGCTCCAACCCCTCTTGTTTTCCCGGGGTCTTCGACAGATCCCCCACCCTCACCCCCTTCCTCTTCAGCTGCCATCCTGGTCTAATAGTCCCCTTACCCCCCCATGCACACCTCCCGTGACCTCTTTGCACAGCCCCTTGTCCTCTCTCCAGTCGTCTGTGTTGAGGGATGGGGGACATTTCTGCCCCAGGTTTCTCCCTTTCTCAATCCCTTTTGAGGGGGTTGGGGGTGGGAAGGGACTGGGTCTTCACTTACTGGGTTAATAAAATTGTTTTTGTGAACTAAGAAAGGGTGAGATCATTCTCACATAGGTGAACTCCTTATCCTTTTGGGGAACTGACCCCCCCTTTTTTTTTTGCCATGAAGGGGCAGCGGAGTGCTGGGAGAGAATAACCTGTAGCCATGGGGACAAACCCAGCAGGCATTTACTGTGACTCAGAGAGGGGGAGCCCCACCTACACAGGGATGACTCAACCGGCCCTGCCTTGCCCGCAGGCCTGGGCCCATTCTCTGGTCTAGAAGACTCGTCCATTACCTACCAACTCAGCTAGCACCTGAGGACCTAGGGCTGGGCCACCTGGCCAGATGGGTCTCAGGCAGGTGCTTACCCCAAGGCAGGACTCAGGAAGCTCAAATTCCTAGACTCTGTACAGCCCTCAACCCTCTTTTAACCCAAAGCTAAACTAAAGGGGGCTGGTCACGGGGACTGTCCATCCTGACGCCCAGGCCAAACCACACAGCACCTCGTTAGTAGAATCTTTTTTATTCAGAAAAAAAAAAAAACCCAAAAAACAAAAAAGTTTTTCCAACCACACACAGGAGGGGTTTGGGTAGGGGGAGGTGTCTGTCCATCCAGCCCCAGCCCCCAGCCCATGTGGTTTTGGCAGCAATAAGGGGTGTCGGGTAATGGCCCAAAAAATAAAAATGGTGGATGTGTGTGTCTGGGAAGGAGAGGGGTGCAAAAGCCGTGGGGAGTGGTGGGGGGAAGGGACGGACGAGGTCAGTACTGGGAACGCCGCAGGTGGGAGGCCATTTCATAGCATTTCTTGTTGATTATACCACCGTGGACACCTTCTTTGCCCATCAGCAGGACTAGCGCTGGAGAAAAGAGAGCAGGCTAGGACCCAGGTGTCACAATTCCCCCCCTACCAGCTGTTGAGCAGCTGTCCAGCCCTGGGGGCTGTAACCCAACCTCCTCTCTCCCAAACCCCCCCCCCCCCCACACAGGCAGGCTGTCAGTCACTCTGAAACAATAGGGCTTTTCAAGAGGGGGAAATCAAGCTTCCAGCTGGAGGGGGCTATGCTAAAATTCAGGGCCCAAAGGCTGGCAGACCGGTGACTGGGATTCAGGCTAGAAATAACCCTGGTGGAGCCTGCCACGTTTTAACAAAAGAGTTCAAAAGACAGAGCTCAGTGCCAACTTCTGACCACCCATCTACCTCTCCCAAGAAAATAGGATTTCCCCTCTGAAAAGGCTCAGGGGCAGAAAGAAACTTAAGAGGTAATACAGTTCATCTTTATGTTACAAGAGGAACTGAGACAGAACTGCAGGAACTATCCAGAGTCCCAGTGTCCAGTAGGCTGGTGTGAGCCCCCTCATACTGGAACCAGGCAGAAAAAGAACCCGGAAGGCTAATGGGAGGTACACGAGGGATCTCAGAGCTGGAGAAAAGGTGCAGAGTCGGAAACTCACTCTTGGCACTCATGGTGACAGTGATGTTGAAAGTGGGGGCTCCCCCGGTGCTCTTGGTACGAAGATCCATGGTAAAGTCCCCATCGTGCAGCAGTGAGTCCCGGATAACAGAACATTTCTGGCCCCCAAGTGTCAGCCCAGTCACGAAAAAACTTGACCGGTCTTTGCCAAGCAGGACACCGACCTCAGCTGGCTGGAAAGGGAAGGGAGAACAGCCATCCAAGTCAGCACACCGAGGTTCCCGCCTGCTTCAAGGACCCACCTGCCCTCCACACCTCCCCCTAGAAGGGGTGGAGGTCCTGCGCTTTGGCACATCTATGGGATTTGAGAAACTTGCTGACAGACTGGGCACAAGATCACGGTCCTCCAGCCTAGAAAATGGTCCTAGAAAAGGACTACACGTTCCTCGGGACACTTCGGTCTCATTTATTAGGGAAAGCGAACCCAAGAAATAAAGGGAGCCAAAAGCCAGGGAGGAGAGCGGCGTGGCCTGGAATGGGGAGCCTCTGGATGCACACCACTCTCCTTCAGGAAAAGCAGAAGCGAAGAGGGGAAGGGAGGGGGCGGGCGAAGCAGGAGAAGCAACTTTGCCCTTATTTGGTCAAAGGTTCTGCAGGAGTTGTTAGGGGCCCGGACGCCTGGGTCTCCGAGTGACTTAGGGTCCAGGTCCAGGTGGCTGTGCCCCGAGAGGATGAAGCAGATGCCTGGGGGCTTTCCGGGGAAGTTGGCAAACTTGGGAAGAGGGCGCGCGGGCCCAGAGCCGGCCACCCAGCTCTCAGGTCCAGATACCCCAGGGAACCTCCCCCCCTCCCCCTAACACCCCAAACCCCCACATCCGGTCCCCTCCCGCCCGGAAATCCCCTTCCCCCCCTCCCGAACTTCCGCTCCCCCTCCCCACTTCCGGGCAGTGCGGACCGGGGAGGTGGTGATGGGGACAGCGGCAGTCATCCCTCATTCCTTCACTCGCGCTGCCCTACAACTTCTCCCAAAGTTCCCCCGCTCCGGGCCCCGCCGGATGGCGGGAAGGGAGGGCGAGGGGACTTCCGGCACGGGCCTCCCAGGAATGCGGGGCGCACAGCGTGCCGACCCGGGGGGGCGTGGGGCGGCCTCGCCCTCTCTAACGGAGCCGGGAGGGCGGGGAACCCCGGACCCCCGGCGCCGCCTCCCGCAGCCGGGAGCAGGAACAATGGTGGCGGGGCGCGCGCCGGCCGCCGGAAGCGGGGCCGGGGGTCCCCCCGCGCCCGCCCGGTGTCCGTGCCCGGCCGAGCCCGCCGCGCGTGCCCGCCCCGCCCTGGACGAGGCGGAAGTGGGCCTCGGCACCGGGCGGCGCGCCCCTCCCCGCCCCGTGCCCCGGATGTAACGCCCCGTCGCGGGGAGCGGCGCGGCGGGAGGGATGGGCGCCGCCGCCCCGGGGCGCGGGGTCGCGGGCGCGGCGGGCGCCCGCTCACGTGCGGCCGCCATCCGCGCCGCCCGCAGGGGCGAGGACCCGGCCGCGGCCCCTCGCCGCCCTCCCCGGGCCGCGCCCCCGCCCCGCGCTCTCCGCGTCCGCGCGGGCCTCGCAGTACCGTGATGTTGACGAAGGCTTTCCCGGGCACGGCGGCCCAGACGGACGGCGAGTCCTTATAGCCCACGATGGCCGCGTCCTGACAGGTCCCGTCCGCCATGAGGTTGTCGATGTAGGCGTTCCACCCGGCCATGGCGCTGCTGCTGGGGCTGCTCTCGGCGCTGCTGCTGGGGCCGCGGCTGGGCTCGGGGGCCTCGGGCTGGCGGGCGGGCGCAGGCGGGGAGCTCGGGGCGCGCGCTGCCGTCCGGACCGCGGCTCCGCTCGCTGTGCGGCAGCCCTCGCACCGCCACTTCCTGCTCCTCCCCCCGCTGGCTTTTTATTTGCGAAGGGCGGCGGGGGGCGGGGCCTGCCCGCCGTTCGCGCCCTGCCCCCTCGCCTGCCCGGACGCCGAACTTCGCAAGGCGATTTTAAAAATCCCTCCCCCTGTTGCAAAATGTGCAGAGTTGGGTGGAAGGCCCTGCGGAGGGCCGGGGGGCGGCGGCGGCCGGGGAGGCTGGGGGCAGGCTCGCCCCGCTTCGCCTTGAATACCAGCGAGACTTGGCGGTCGGGCAAGGGAGCGAGCCCGAGGGAGGGAGGAGAGTGAAAGGAAGGCGACTGGCGGGCCGCGAGCGAGCCAGCCGAGGAGGGTGCGGGGCGCTCGGGGTCAAACGGAACGGCTCCCCCTCCCCCCACCTCCGCCGAGGGCAGGAGCGGCGGCGGCGGCGCGTGCGCCCGCGCCTGCGCCGGGCCGGGCCGGGCGGGAGGGCGCGGGGCGGTTAGGGCCGGCGGCCGGCTGCGCGGGCGCGCAGGGCGCGCGCGGCGGGACCCCCCGCGCGGGCGGGCCGGGGACGTGTCTGCCGCCGGGCGGAAGGGGCGGGGGCGCGGCGCGCGCGGGCCGCGGCTCCCCCTCGGCCCTTCCCGGTCGCGAAATGCGGGAGCCCAGGGGGAGCTGGCCGAATACCCCGGCTGTCTTCAGAGCTGAAGGCGCCCGCCGCGGGGACACTCGTGTCCCCAGGACCTGCCCGAGGGGCACAAGCGGGGTCAGCTCCAGCCCCCAGGCGGGCCTCCGCGCCCCACGCCCCGGCCCCGCCCGGCCTCCCCCGAACCACCAACACACACACCCCGCCAGCAGTTCGGGTCACCGGCCGGGCCCCTGGGCCCGGCGCGGCAGAGGTCACTGGGCGCGGGACTACTTTCCCGGGCGGAAGGACACCGGGGGTTTGCAAGCTCTGCAACTTCTCCAAGAAGGGAAAAGTCCCCTCCTGCTCGGGCCCCTCGGGTTCTTTTTTCTTCTTTTCGGTAAAACTTAGGCTGAGAAGTCGTGCGCGCCGCGCTCGCCCGCCGCCCGGCGGGAACGGGCGGCCGGGGTCCCCGCGGCGGCCCAGGTGAAGGCGCCGGGCCGCCGCGGGGCTGGGCCGCTTCCGGTCCTGGGGGAGGGGCGCCCCGCCGGCCACCGGGGCGGCCGCCCCCAGCCCCCGACGGCCCCGGAGCCCGTTCCTCGACAGCCGCGCGGCTGAGTCACCGGGCCGCCCGGGCGGGGCCGCGCTCGGGCACGTGGCGGCGCCCTGGCCGGCCGGCTCCTGACCTCTGGCCCGCCGCACCCCCGACCCCGGGGTGGAAAAGTCCGGAGGGCGCGGCCGGAGCCGGGGACGGGGCGGGGGAGAGGACGAGCCTCCGGGTGCCCGCGCGTCCCGGCTGGGGCTGCGGCGGAGGTCGGGGCGCGGCCCCCCAGAGCCGCCCCGCCGCGCTCAGACGCGCGTGGGGGCCACCCCTCCTCCCGCCATTCATTTTGTGCCCTGCTGAGGAACCGCATTCACTGGTGGGCTGGGGCTGGGGCCGCGGCCCGAGGCGCCCGCGGTCGGCGGGGAAGGGCTCCCGGCTGCCGATCTGCACCCTGGGCGACAAGTGCTGGCCCGGCGCAATCAGCGGGGAGCCGCGCCAAGTCTGAGGGCCCGTCTAAATTCGGCTCCCTGCCCCCTCCCCCACCCCCTTGCTGGCCCGGGGCGGGGGAGGGGAGGGGCCCAGAGAGGCCGCCCTGAGGACCCTGAGAGGTGAGACCCTCTCGCCTTCCGAGTGGAGGATTCCATTTGAGGCCTCCGAGCGTGCGCGGGACCCCGGCCCCTCCTCCGACTGAGGGCAGAGGCAGCCGGGCGCCTGCCAAGTGAGCTGAGCACGTGTGGATGTCAATCCTGCAGCCCCTCTTCCAGGCCCCCTCCCCAGCCCTGCAGGGCTCATGTTACCGCTGGCCTTTGCTAAAGGGCACTAGTCCCTCTTTAACCTTTGCAAAAGGGGACTATAATTCTGGCGAAGGGAGAGACCCCCGATCTGAAGGCCCTCCCCTGCCCCTCCCCAGAGCTGGAATTAAAAGTAGGGGCTTTTATTGGGGGACAGAGAGGAAGGAGGGGTAGTCATTGACCTTTGGGAAGGGGGCAGGTGCCCAGGGACAAAAGCTGCTGCTTTCGGCTGTAGTGGGCACTTGGCTGCCAGCCCAGTGTGGAGGGGGAGGATGGAGAGGGAGAGAGGCGGGACTGGCTGGGGTGCGGGGTGGCTAGGGGATAAATGCCCAGCCTGAGAGGGGGTGAGCTGACACTGTCCCAGCTGCCACCTAGACTCGGAGCTCACCCCGAACCCCTAGCGAAGACATCCCAGGTCTGGTGAACCCTCCAGTCCCAGAGGATGGGGCTGGTGAAGGGGTGAAGGGTGAGGGTGGTGCTGGTTTGGACAGAGTGGGGGGAGCTCTCAGCTTTTTCTTCCTCCCGGGACTGGGGCTGCTTGAGAAAGACGTGGAAGGGTTGGAGCAAGCAGGATGGGGGGTACCCAGGGCAGAGAACCAGACCGTGAAGAAAGGCAGGCAGAGGTGGATGGAGAAGGGGAGTGAGAGTTGCAGCCAGGTGGGGAACTTGGGGTCCCCACGGATTTGGAGGAGACGGAGGAGCAGGAAGAGGAGAACCGGCAGAGCAGGAGAGGGTCTGAGGGCCAGTAAGCAGAAGGGCGAGGGAGAGGGCCTCAGGGCAGCTCTGCGGGCTGTGGGGCAGGGGCCAGGGAGCCGTGCAGAGGGTGCAGTTAAAGGAGAGGTCCCTGGATCCTTAGGATGGGGGTGCAATAGGAGCTGTTCTGAGTGGGGGAGGGGGCTGCGCCAGCCTCTTTGGTCTGTGACCTTTTTGTGGGATATTTTTAGCTCCCGCACCTGCCTTCTTGGGGTGGGGAAGACTCTTAAAGGGCAAGGGATTTCGGGTTCCTTCAGGGATCAACTGTCCACACTCAGTCACATCTCTTGCCTTATAGCCATGGCCATGCAGAAGATCTTTGCCCGGGAAATCCTGGACTCCAGGGGCAACCCCACAGTAGAGGTGGACCTGCACACGGCCAAGGGTAACACAGGCCTCTGGAGTGGCCTCGCCTTGGAAGACCCCAGCCCCGTGTGTCCTTGCCCCCTCCCCCCCAGTTCTGCCCCACATGCTCTCCTTTCTCAGGGATCCCCTTCCCCAGAGTTCTTCCCCTTCCATCCTGGCTCCCTGGTCCAGAGAAGCAGGAGTCTCCCTCTGCACTGGCCCCCGGCCTGGGCTCAGCATACTTCGGCCCTTTGGGGATGCAGGGGACTCTGTGACGTTCCCTTTCAACCTACCCAGGCCGATTCCGAGCAGCTGTGCCCAGCGGAGCTTCCACGGGTATCTATGAGGCCCTGGAACTGAGAGATGGGGACAAATCCCGCTACATGGGGAAAGGTGAGGGAAGACGGTGGCCGGACGAGCCTGTGTGTGGGGGGGGCGTCAGGACCTGGGCCCTCAGCAGCCTCGTGGGGTGTAGAGGACTGGAACCCAATGCTCTTAAGGAGCCTGATCAAATCAGATTTCTGAACCACACCCCCCCCCCCCCGGCTTCTCTAGGGGTCCTGAAGGCCGTGGAACACATCAACAAGACCCTAGGCCCCGCTCTGCTGGAAAAGGCAAGAGGGAGCCTGCTCCCTGCCCCCATGTCCTTGTCACCTCACCCCCAGCAGCTCTCGCCTGGGAGAGGCCTTGCTTGGCCCGCCAGCCTGTCTCCCCCAAATACCTGCACTTCCTCCCGCACATGCCCTGACTCCTGAGAAATGTGACCTCTGCTCTCCCCCCCCCCCCCCGCCCCAACCTCTCCTTCCAGAAACTAAGCGTCGTGGATCAAGAAAAAGTTGACAAATTTATGATCGAGCTGGACGGGACTGAGAACAAGTGTGAGTGCAAGGCCAGGGGGAGGGACCCTGGGTCGGAGCTCTGGTTAGGATTACTTCTGCGTCCCACAGTTTGGGGCACACAGTGGCTGGCTGGGCTTGTATTCGCTCCACAGGCATTTCCTGGTGCCTGTCCTCCGCCGGGCCGGGCCGGGCCGGGCCGTGGACACAGACTTGAGGCTGACACATTCCCCTGGGGCGGGGGCTCCTGGGGGAGACGGCCATTAGCACACCCTTCATGCCCAGTGGTCTGGCGCTGCGGATGCTTCCTGGGGTGACCCAAGCCCTGCGGGAGAAGCCCTCATCCTTTCTTTGTGCCTGCCTCCTCCAGCCAAGTTTGGGGCCAACGCCATCCTGGGCGTCTCCCTGGCCGTGTGCAAGGCTGGCGCAGCAGAGAAGGGGGTCCCGCTCTACCGGCACATCGCGGACCTCGCCGGGAACCCGGACTTGGTCCTCCCGGTCCCTGTGAGTGCAGCCGCCCTTGCCCCGTGCCACAGTGACTGAGCCGCCCCGCCAGTGAGCCGCGCTCGAGCGGCCCCTGGAAAGTCTACCTTCCAGACCCAGCTCCAAAGACACGGTTTCCTGGAGTGGAACTTCTCCAGCGGCGGCCGGCCCCTCCCTCTTTCCCACAATCCAAGCCGCCCCGCTGCTTCCCTTGGCCTAACCCCGCGCTCCTTCCCATTCGGGCGCTAGGCCCAGTCCCGAGTCAGATCGGGAGCTGCTTCGTGGCGAGGGTCTGGCCTCTCTCTGTATCTCCGCGAATCCTCATCAGGCCCAAGCCCCTGTCGCGCGTCGGGAGGAACGTGACCCCTTACTGCGCCCTAACTGGGCGGACCGCGTTCGCGCGGAGCTCGGGGCGCGGCTGGCCTGCCTGTCTGCTGGGGTGTGATCTTAGGCGAGTCCGCACATCCGCTCTCTGCCCCCGTTTCCTTGTCTGTGAAGTGGGGATGGTAACAGGACCGGGCTAACGGGTGCCGGGGGCAGGGAGGGAGCTCGGGGACCCCACGGAAGGCTCCCAGGCAGCACCTGGCCTGCTGTAAGTGCCGTCCCCTAGCTGTCGCAGGTGAGGCACACGCGGGGCCTGATTTTCAGTCCGTTTGTCTGACTTTCAGCGTAAGATCCCGCGGGACAGCGGGTGGTATCCCCATCTTACAGAAACGAGACGAGAGACCCTGAGGAGTGACAGGACTCCCTCTAGACCCGCGGCTGCTAATTCGGGAAGCCAGGGTTCCGCCTGGACCCTCCCAGCTGGCGGGGTCTGAGCCGCCCCTCCCCCACCCTCCCCCTCACCAGGCCTTCAACGTGATCAATGGGGGCTCCCATGCTGGAAACAAGCTGGCCATGCAGGAGTTCATGATCCTGCCCGTGGGAGCCAGCTCCTTCAAGGAAGCTATGCGCATCGGCGCCGAGGTCTACCACCACCTCAAGGGGGTCATCAAGGGCAAGTACGGGAAGGACGCCACCAACGTGGGCGACGAGGGTGGCTTTGCACCCAACATCCTGGAGAACAACGAGGGTCAGTGTGAGCGCTCTGAGGGCCGGGGCCCCCCGCGTCCCCGTGGAGGGCGGGCTGCAGAGACCGCGGGCCCTGGAGCCTCAGGTGCCCTGTCGCCCCTCCCCCAGCCCTGGAGCTGCTGAAGACCGCCATCCAGGCAGCCGGCTACCCCGACAAGGTGGTCATCGGCATGGACGTGGCAGCGTCCGAGTTCTATCGCAATGGGAAGTACGACCTCGACTTCAAGTCCCCTGACGACCCCGCGCGGCACATCACTGGGGAGAAGCTGGGGGAGCTGTACAAGAACTTCATCGAGAACTACCCTGGTGAGACCCCCAGCTGGTCCGTCGCTCCTGCCCGAGACCCTGGCGGCGGCCGCCCAACACGGTGACTGCCACCGCCGCGGCCCTCGCGGTCCTCAGCCCCGCGGAAATCCCCACCCCGACTCTTCCGGCCTGTTGCCCCGTGAGGCCCCTCTGACCTTTACCGGGGCTCCTGCCTCATCCCCTCCAGTGGTTTCCATCGAGGACCCCTTCGACCAGGATGACTGGGCCACCTGGACCTCATTCCTCTCGGGGGTGAACATCCAGATCGTGGGGGACGACCTCACGGTCACCAACCCCAAGAGGATTGCCCAGGCCGTTGAGAAGAAAGCCTGCAACTGCCTGCTGCTGAAGGTCAACCAGATTGGCTCAGTGACCGAGTCCATCCAGGCGTGAGTGCCTGCTGGCCCTGGGGCGGCCGCAGCCTCCCTCCGCCCCAGCTCTGCCCGGCCTGCCGCGTCTGACTTGCCCCGGCTCCTGCCCCATCCCCACCCTCCTGACCCCAGGGCTTTGCCCCGGTGACCCTGCCGTGCCCCACGCCCAGCCCACGCGGTTCCTCTCTCCCTGGTTCTGCCCTTCCTTCCCACCGGCATCTCAGGAGCCCACATTCAAAATCAACTCTCCCCTTCTCTCCTGCTTCCCAAAGAACTTAGTTCTCTCCCCGCAAAGAGCCCACTCCCCCAAACCGAAGGGAAAAGCCGCACCCAGCCCTTGGCTTTCCCTCGGAGGCCCCGGCCCACCTTACTGAGTGTCCTTTCTGCCCAGCTGCAAACTGGCTCAGTCTAACGGCTGGGGGGTGATGGTGAGCCACCGCTCCGGGGAGACTGAGGACACGTTCATCGCCGACCTCGTCGTGGGGCTCTGCACGGGACAGGTACCCACGGGCCTCCTTGGGGTCCCTGGATTCCTGCCACCACAGGCCGCTCCCACCTCCAGCCTCATGCAACCATGGGAACTCCCCTTTCCTCCCCAGATCAAGACGGGTGCTCCCTGCCGCTCAGAGCGTCTGGCCAAGTACAACCAGCTCATGAGGTACGGGGGCTGCGGTGGGCCCGGATGAGGGGAGCCCGGCGCTGTTGGGTTGAAGGGCACAACTCTGATTTTGCCTGCCTTCTAGGATCGAGGAGGCTCTCGGGGACAAGGCTGTCTTTGCGGGACGCAAGTTCCGTAACCCGAAGGCCAAGTGAGAAGCTGCAGGCCCCAAGACCTCACAGGACCCATCTAGGCCTTCAGGCCCTTCCCTGGGGGAATAAACACTGGTGGCAAGCAAGACGGTGGTGTGCTCCTTGGTGGGACGGAGGGGATGCCGGTCTCCGGGCAAGACAAGAGGTGGAGAGGTGGGGGCAGGAAGGGAGGAACGCTCGGGTGACCTGCTGGGACACGGAGGGAAGGGGAGGGACGGCTTCACACTTCGGAAGGAGGCTGAGGGGGAGCCGGGGGGTGGGGGCAGGGGTCTGAGCGCCCCACGCTCACGAAGCTTTCAGGATCCGGAACCCTTGCAGACACTTGACGTACCGACCTGTGCTCTCTGTGAGCCGGCGCCATCAGAGAGTGACCGTTTTCTCCCCATTTTATGTGTGGGGAAACCAAGGCAGAGAAAGTCTCCCTTACCGGCGGAGCCAGGAGCCAAAGCCGGGCCGTTTGTCTCTAGCGAGTGTGCTCTTTGAATGCTATCTCCTATAGGCCCCAGGAAAGTGCCAGTATTTGGCCATCCTTGACCAGCACAACCATCGTAGACTGTTCGACCTAAAATTCTCTTCCTCCCCGGGACCCACCTTTCTCTGTCCAAACAAACCGGGATGTTGGGTCAACAGTGTTTATTGAATGTAAAGTCATCCCAGCCCACGGGGAAGGAAATTCCAAGGAGAAAGGAGAATGATACACGTTAAATACCCACCTGCGCATTCGCACACACGCACACACGCACGCACACGGCCAGGCTCCGACAGTGACGCGGAGACCACCGGCCCCCAGCCCGAGAGAGGCCGGCGGGAGGTGCTGCGGAGGTGGGGCTCCAGGATGGGTCTAGTAGCAGCAGCCTGTCCCCCCCGCCCCCTGCCCCGCCCCCTGCCCTGCCCCGGGAGCCGCGGTGCCTAGGAGGTAGGCGGCAACTCTTCCCCGTTCTGCCGCAGGCGCTTCTTGGCCCGGATCTCGTTCATGGCCTCTTCGATGGAGCGAGTGTCCCTCTTGTTGGCCACGGGCACTGGGGGGTGGGGGTGGGAGAGGAGTGTGGGCAGGGCCTGGGAGCCCTGCATCCCCGCCCCCCGCCCCCGCCCCCCGACGGGGCCTCACCGCAGCCGTAGGTCTTGTTGGCCTGCAGCATGTGGGCCGCGTCCTTGGCTGCGCCCTTGCCGATGAGGTGGCTGTACTTGTCCTTGTAGTCGCTAGCGGGGCTCACCACCACGGGGCCCTGCTGGGCCGCCGCCTCCTCCTGCCGCTGGGCCAGCTCCTAGGGGTGCAGAGGCCAGGCACCAGCGCTCGGGGGCCTGTCCCCACCCCTCCCGGGGGTGGGCTGCCAGGCGGAGCTCACCTTCAGCTTCCGTTTCTCCTCCGCCTTCTGGGGGTCCCACTCCTCCCCGCGACGGTAGGAGTCCAGCTCTTCATCAGAGGGTGCAAACTCCTGGGGACAAAGGAACCATGGGGTCAAGGTTCCACACACGGGCTTCATGCAGGCCTCTCCCCCGGGGGCGGGGGGGGGGGGCGCAGGCTGAAAAGGAGAGAGGAGGGCGGGGGGCTTGGGCCTTTCACCTTTTTGAAGATCATGACGTAGCGACACTCATCATCTTCCCCGAAGGAGAAGGACGTCAGGCCGGCCACTTCCACCACATCGTGTCTGGGTAGGGAGGCCGGAGGGGAGAGTATGTAGGGCTGCCAGGGGCCCAGCACCCCCTTCTTAGGGGTCCCCTGCTGGCCCTTTCACATCTCCCCTAGCCCAGAGACACTCACAGGATGCTCCTCTCTATCTTGTTCATCGGCTGAAACTTTTTCTTGATCTGCCCACTGTCTTGGATGAAATCTGACACCTCTTTCTCCATCTTGGGAGACAGAAGAGGAAGACATGAGGTGACTGCTCCACCCCAGAACCCCTCTCCCGAGCCGGGCCAGCGGGCCTTGCCCCCCACACCTTCCCCAGCCTCCATGCCACTGGCCTCCAGGCTTCTCACGGGAGACATTTGGGAAAACCTGAGTCCTCAACCTTCCAACTCTTAACTTCTTGGAAGTCCTTCCTGAGGCTGCCTTTGCCATCTCCAGTGGGCTCACCCTTTTACGAAATTCCACTTTCTGTTGTTTCTCTTGCTCCTGCAGTTTCTTCAGGCGGGCAGCCTGCTCTGGGGGTGAGAAATGGCAGCATGAGGCCGGGGCTGGAGGCAGGGGTGGGGAGAGTCTGTCAGGCTTCTTACGAGGTCTGGCGTGCCCTGGGAGAGCAGATCAGTGCCTGTTCTCCAAGCATCGGCGCATACTCATTGTGTGCCTGGTACTGTGCTAGACAGAGCATTCCCTTCAAGAGCTCCCACTTTAGTGGGAGTGGTGAGGAGGAGAACCATGCTTGGCCCCGTGATTCACAAGCACGTATTCCGTGCCCACAATGCAGAGGCCTGGGACCGCTGGGGAGCTGAGAGCAGATTCAGCCTTGGCCTCCAAGAGCTTACTGTCACACTGTCTACACAGGAAAGGGGAAATTACTTAACTTCCTATATTCTGTAACACCCCCACTTCTCGTTCCCACAGACAGGAGGGCGCTGAAGTGACTGATCCGACACCCTGCTCCTTGGGGACTGCAGGTGCCCAAGGCGAGCTGTGAGGGTGCTCCCCCAGCTCAGGTCTTGGCGCCCCCTCCCCTCTGTCAGGCCACTTCGAATCCCCCTGTCCTTCCGGCCCACTTGCACTGATTGGGGTCCTCCAGCTGCACTGGACCTCTTCCCGTTTCCCTAACCACTTTGCACCACCTAGGGTTCCTCCTCCTGCAAACCTAGACCCACCGAGAGTCAGAGTTGCTCACTGCCTCCCCTGGGGGCCAAGCACTTGGGGTTCCCAGACTCACTCTAGCGTGCGCTGAGAACCAACAGAGTGTAACTCCTTATCTGTCTCCCTGCAGACTGGGAGCTGCTAGCAGGCAAGGGAGCCTGTCCACCTCCTCTCCAGTTACTCCCCGCGGACCCCGGCGGGCAGCTTGGGGGCTCTCCTCTGTCTGATCTCAGGGGCTTTACCACCAGTGTGTCTTATCTTGACCACTGATGTTCTCTAACTGGTCTGTGAATCTCCCCTCCGCATCTGAGGAGGTGGCACGAGGTTAAGGTTAAGAACGTAGGCCACACAGAAGAAAAAAAAAAAAAAAGAGCGCAGGTTTACCGATCACAGGCCGGTTTAAAGCCCTGCCACTCAGTAACCCTGTGACCTCAGGCAAGTGACTGAACCCTGAACCTCAGCTTCCTGGTCCAGCCACGGCCGCTACCGTTCCCACGTGTCGCCTCCCTCCCGGGAAGTCTCGAACACACGTCTGCCCACAGGGGCAGGGGCTCCCGTCTCGCTGAAGGGCCCCCCGCCAGCCGTCAGCCCCCTGCAGGGCGGGTCTGGACTCCGGACAATGCCTTTCGGGGGCGCATCCAGGGGGCTGTCAAACTTGGGTGTGACCCTTCCGTGCGCGGCCCAGACTGCGGGCTCCCGGACGGTGGGCGCGGCCCCCAGCCCGCCGCCCCGGCCCGCCCCGACCCCGCGCAGGGACCTGAGCCCGCCCGCCGGGGAGGGCGCCAATCGGACGGCCGGGGCGCCCCCGTGCCTCCAATCGGCAGTGCGGCCGGGACTGGGCGGCTGCCCACGAGGGAAGGGCGGCGGGGACGCGGAAGGGACCGGGGAAAGCAGGTAGGAGGGGCGCAGGGCGCAGAGCAGGCCCGGCCACCAATCCGAGGCGCCGAGGGTGGGGTGGGCCCGAGGAAGGCCGGACCAGACGCCGTAGGCAGAACCCGAAATGGAGGGGGCCAATGGGGGCGAAGGGCTTGCGGACGGGCGTGCCCCGGGGCCAATCGGAATGCGGATAGGGCGCGGGGGGGGTGCTCGCGAGCTGGACACGCCCCCTTCGGACCGGCAGGCGGGCCCGGGCGTGGGGGAGGGGGGCGAAGAACGCCAAGGGGCTGGAGGCAGCCAGCCAATCAGAGCACGACAGCGGCGGACGGGCGGGGCCGCCGGCGAATTGGAAACAAGGACTGAGGAAGGCCAGTAGGCAAAAGGCGGGAGGCTGGAGCTCGGCTCCAGGCAGCCAATCACCGGCCGCTAAGAGCAGCGGGCGGGCCGGCAGCCCTTTTACGGACTCTGGGGGTCTCCGTAGGGGCCTGTGAGGGGGTCTTTCAAGGTTGAGGAGGCGGCATCGTCCGAAGGGGGAAGAGTGCGGTCCTGAGACCCGGGCGAAGGAAGGCGGTTGTGGATTTGGGGTCCTCACCTCGGGCCTTGCGCCGAGACTCCTGGTCCCCGAGGCTGGGTGGCTTCTCCATGGAGCTCAGGATGGAGCCCAGTAGGTCCGCCATCTTGGGAGTGACTGAGAAGGGGCGGCGCGTCTTAAAGGGAAGGGCGAAATGCCTTTAAGGCCGGAAACACGTCGGAGGCGGAAAGCTCCGCGCCCGCCCCGCCCGCCGCCCCCCCGCCGGCCGAGGCCCCGCCCGCCAGCCCGCCCGCCAGCGCCGCGCAGACAGAGGCCGGAGGCTGGCTGGTGCAGCGATGTTTAATGGCAACTCGTAGAAACCAAGCCCATGCACAAGTAGAAAGTGCTCGTGGAGCCGGCCGGGGGCCCCCGCCGCGCCGTGCAGCCCTCCCCGCGGCGCCTTAAATAGATTCTTCACTATACTCTGTATGTTACAGTATGTACAGGCCCCCTCCCCTCGGGGGACGGGGGGGACGGGGCGGGCTCCGCGGCGCGCGCCCCCGCACAGCCCCTCCGGCCCGGGCACCGCGGGCCGCCGGCGGGCGACAGGGGAGGCGGGCCGCAGCGGGAGGGGGCACACGCCAACATGCGGAGTCGGGTGGGGGCGCGGTCGGCCCTGCGACACGAGGGGCGCGCGGCGGAGGGGGGACCGAGGCGGATACATTCAGAGACGCGTCCAACAAATAAATAAGGCAAGTCAGGAAGGGTCGAGACGGGTGCAGGCAGAGAGGAGGCCGTGGAGAAGGGGCAGGCAGGGCTCCGGAGGTCACGGCGGAAGATGCAGGGAGGTGGGGTTCGCGGGTCGGGGGGCCGAAAGAGTGGGGGCACGACCCAGGGGGTTGAGGTGGGGCAGGGCGGAGACCTAGGGAGGGGGACAGCTGCCGACAGGGGGCTCCCCTCCCCCGGAGAGCCCTCTCCCTGTTAAGACTGCCAGAAGCGGCCCCCAGGGCAGTGAGGAAAGCGGGGCGCAGGTCAGGTGGCCAGTCCGGGCTGGGGGAGCCCTTCCAGCTCCTGGTTCTGCTTCAGTTCCCTCATCCTGCAGAGAGACGGGGACGGAGTCAGGAGACCAGCTGATGGGGCCGCCGCGAGGCTGGGGCGGGGGTGTGCAGGTGCCCTGGGGGACCCGGCCCGGGAAGGGAGCACCTGTGTCTGCAGCGCCGCAGGAATCTCATGATCTTCCGGGCTGCCTGGTCCTGCTTCTTGGTGAGAAAGGAGCCTCTGGTGGAAGAAGAAAGGATGAGGAGCTGCGGCACACCAGCGCCCTTGCCCTCAGCCCCGGGGCCGGCAGGGAGAGGCAGGGGCAGGATGCTGGGCTCAGACCCCCGGGACCCGCAGGGAGAGGCAGGGGCAGGATGCTGGGCTCAGCCCCCCGGGACCGGCAGGGAGAGGCAGGGGCAGGATGCTGGGCTCAGCCCCCCGGGACCGGCAGGGAGAGGCAGGGGCAGGATGCTGGGCTCAGACCCCCGGGACCGGCAGGGAGAGGCAGGGGCAGGATGCTGGGCTCAGACCCCCGGGACCGGCAGGGAGAGGCAGGGGCAGGATGCTGGGCTCAGACCCCCGGGACCGGCAGGGAGAGGCAGGGGCAGGATGCTGGGCTCAGACCCCCGGGACCCGCAGGGAGAGGCAGGGCAGGATGCTGGGCTCAGACCCCCGGGACCGGCAGGGAGAGGCAGGGGCAGGATGCTGGGCTCAGACCCCTAGGACCCGCAGAGAGAGGCAGGGCAGGATGCTGGGCTCAGACCCCCAGGACCCGCAGGGAGAGTCAGGGGCAGGATGCTGGGCTCAGCCCCCAGGGACCGGCAGGGAGAGGCAGGGGCAGGATGCTGGGCTCAGCCCCCCGGGACCCGCAGGGAGAGGCAGGGCAGGATGCTGGGCTTGGAGTTGGGCTCGGGGCCTCGGGCCTGGACGTGGAGGGCTGCGGGCGGCCGTACTTGCTGCGGGCGGGCAGGCTGCCCGTGGGCCGGTGGGGAGGCCCCGGCCGGCGGCGGTAGGAGCGGTAGTGCTGCTGGATGAGTACAGCCGCCCGGCGGCTCTGCTGAAACCGCTTCTGTTCATAGTAGCTTCGGAACTTGCTCTGGATCAGGATGGCCGCCTGGGTCATCTTCTTATAGAGTGCAAACTGCAGACACGGGGGGAGGGGACGGGGGCTGAACTGCAGGGACAGAGACCCGGACCCCTGCGGGTCACCCCCAGGTTCAGCTGGTGCAAGTCTCTAATCCACACGCTCACGGGAAGGCCGAATCATCACGGACAACCTCCCACCCAGACCTCGTGCCTGATACCTTAAGCGCAATCCAGGTCAGCTTGTGGAGAGAGAGGGGGAGTTAGGGCTTCAGCCGCGCTCTGGAGTGAGGATGCGCATGCGCGCGCGGGTGCGGGTGCAGGTGCGTGGGGGGCACGTGTGTGCGGGTGCGCGCGCACGTGCGCCGTCCAGAGCCCAGGCTCTCACCTGCTTGTACTTGCGGTAGCAGCGCTGGATCACGGCCGCAGCCACCTCCTCCTGCTCCTTCAGCCTCCGGCCCTGCGGCAAGACACGGAAGTCAGCCCCCAGGGGCCCACCTGGCCGACTCCCGACCTGCCCTTCGGCTGGCCGCGAGCCCCCGATCTCCGCAGCCCTCCGACCTTGTACTTGCGGAAGGCTGTCTGGATGACGCGAGCCGCCTCGTACAGTTCCCGCTGCTCGTGATCCGACAGCGTCAGCAGGGCGAAATCACTCTCCATCTTGCCGCCGGCGGAGGCAGACAGAAACTCTGCCCAGGAGGGTGCTGGAGGGACGGCCAGGCGCCCACGCTCAAAGGGCAGTTCGCTGGAGGGGAACAGGGAGAAGGGAGGTCACGGGGCGCGTGAGGTCCCTCCTCCTCTGCCCAGGGACCGCGGCGAAGGGAGAGCTCCCCAGCCAGTTCATCCTTCCCTCAAAGGCCCTGGGGCCCGAGCCGCAGTGGACTCTGGCTGTGGGAGAGGCTCCTTCCCCGCTCCCATGTGCCGTGGACGCGTCTGGATGCTCTGTCCTGAGCTGGTCACCTGGGAGGGGCTGAGCTGGGGAAATGGTCCACGTTCTCCAGGTAGCTGGCCAGCCACGACATGGTCTCACTGAGCCCCAGGGCCCCTGTGCGCTCCCTCATGGGCGCTCCGGCCTCGGGCAGCCCCGAGAAGTCCTCTCGTTTAATCCGCTCCGGCGTGGCTTCGATGATCTGCTTGGCCAGTGAGATCATGTCCACCTGCATGAAGGAGAAGCTGCCGAGTCCGGAGCCGCCCCGACTGCCAGGTGCTCCTGCCCCGCCACAGTGTAGCCACCGTCCACGTCCTGTCCCGTCACTCCCCTCACCACCAGACACCGAGGCCTCGCGAAGGGCTGTCCCTGCTCCCCACGTTCCAATTCTTGCATTTACACCCCCTGGGCTCCCACATGGGTGTACAGCCCTCTGTGTGGAGACGTGGAAAATGGGACGGGAAGGACCTGCTCCAGATGGGGATTCAGGAACTGAGCGAATGGAGCACTTGCCCTTCGGGAGGCTGGGCCTGCAACCCCAGCATCCTCGAGCCCTCCTCCACGCCCCCCTGTGCACTCCGGGCCGGCCACACGCAGCACGGTACTCTGTCTGGACTTCTGCGCTGCGCAGTGAGTCCGGTGGCCTCTCTGAGGCAGGCAGGTCCCGGGTTTGGGCAGAGCAGTGCCCTGCTGCTCTCCCAGACTCCTCGTTGTTATCCCCGTGCCGGCCTCCCAGCTCCTCACTCCATCACGCCGCCCCGCTTCCCCGAGAATCCTGTGTCCTCATGGATCAGTGGGGAACCCCTACAACCCAGCTCCAGCTGAGGCCGCTCCCCAGGATGTTCAACCTCTGATGCCTCATGATTTCTGAGTCCCAATCTCTGTCAGGACCTAAGCAAAGGGTTCCCATGCCCGTCCCCAAAACAAAGGTAACCGGCCCCTTCTTCCCAAACTGAAGCCAGACCCTACTTCTGCTTTGTGGGACGCTCAGTGTCTGCGCCGCGCCCCCCCACCCCGCCCCTCACAGCTCTGCGGCGGGCTGTGTACCGGGATCACGTCCACAGCCGGCGGGCCATCCGTGTCCTCTGGGGCAGCCCCACCGTCCGGGGCTGGTGGGAGAGGAGGCGGTGAGGGGGCTGGCCCCTGGGGGTTGGTGGCTTCACAGTCCATGAGGAATAGGGGGGCCTCAGGGGCACCCGAGGAGACCTGGCCAGGGACAATGTCCTGCATGGCAATCTCGGAGGCCGGCCGAGGCGCAGGTGGAGGACTGCCGTCTGGGGCACTGGAGTAGGCCGACGTGACGGAGAAGGTGCCGTCCGACAGCTCCGAGGGCGAGGAGACGCTGCTCAGCCCTGCGAGGGGAGGGGAGCCAGGGTAGCGGGAGCCCTGGCCGTCCTCCTCCCACCCACGGCCTCCTCAGGAAGACTGGGGACGGCCCTCACCAGTGTCGGGGCTGGAGGAGGGGGGCGACAGGGCGAGCGGGGGCTCGGCTGAAGCTTCCTGTCTCTGCAGCTCCTGCAGGCAGCGGGCGAGACGCACGTGACCCCGGGAGTGCGCCACGGACAGGGGCAGCCGGCCCAGAGAGTCGGGGATGCTCAGCGCCTGCCTGTTCCAGCGGAAGAGGAGCACCGCGGCCTCCAGGTGGCCCAGGGCGCAGGCCCACATCTGCGGGCGGTGGGGGGGGGGGGGGGTAAGGCCTGGGGCCGCCCTGCGCATCCCCCCAAGACCCCCCCTCCCGGCAGCACGCCTGGCCCCCCGCCACCCTGTGTGTGCTCACCAGAGGGGTACAAGAGAAGTGGTCCACGTTGAGCGGGTCAGCCTCCTGCTCTAGGTCCAAGCTCCCAGTCCCCACGCTCCTGGAGGATTTGGGGCAGGGATACCAGAGTCTGGTCAGGGTAAGGGCAGGCGCTGCGGGAGCATCAGAATTGAAGGAGCCGGGAAGCAATTAGTCTAGAAGCACTAAGGTCAGGGGGCGAGGCCCTCGAAGAGACGCAGAGCCTGAGGAGCTCGGAAAGTCAGCGTCCCAAGTCGGGGGGCGTTAAAATTCGCCGAGTGTGAGTCCTCTCCCAGCCCCTCTTCCCACAGTGAGCACAGCTCCCTCCTCGGTGCCCCCTCCCCGCAGCCCTGCTCACCGCCACTGGCTCAGGGTCTCGATGAGGCGCGCATAGCCCTGGGCAGCGGCCAGGTGCAGGAGGCTCATGCCCCGGAAGGGGCTTCCGTGCGCCAGACGTTCAGGACCCCTCCAGGTGGAGCGTGGGATCATGCTCTCTACCAAGACCACCACACGTGCCTCAAAGCCGGGCCCCTGGCCTTCATCCTGTGGAACAGACCCCCTTATGCAGGGACCTGAGAGCCTGGCCCCCTGCCTTGGGATGGCCTTGGTCACCTCCACCTGTCCTCTCCCCACACCTCCCTTCCAGGTTCCTACCACCCAGACCTCCGTGGGCCTTCAGCTCTCCCAGCTCAGGCTCCCGGGCGTCCCCCACTCCCACGGCTGGCTTCCTCCAACCGTTCTGGCAGCCGGACCCCACACGGCCTTGCCCGTGTGCGCCCGCACACCGGCTCTGGTCAGCGCCATGCCCACAGATGACCCTGCGTCCTCTCCCTGTTCCTGTCCTCAGAGCCCGGGGGCCCATGAGTGCCGGCCCCCAGGCTCCCCATCCCCTCCCCCACCCCCGCCTTCACCCCCACCCGCTTCAGATCAGAAATAGTCTGAAGCCCTGTCATGCCAAGAGGGTGCCCAGAATAGCCACTCCTGCCACAGGGTGACGTCAGGGAGGAGGAGGCTGGGGACACAAGGGACAGGAGAGTCTCAGCACAGCCATTTTCTCTGGGAGGACCCTCCTCGGCTCCCCACCCAGACCTCCCCCCTCGCGGAGCTACCTGGATTGGAGGTGCGTCAGGACCGTGGCAGGAAGCCTGCCCGGCTGCTGCCATGTCCGCCATTCGCTTCTCCATCTGCTCTAGTCGCTCCAGAATGGACATTCGGAACTGGTTGTCTGAAGGGGAAGAGGTACGGGAGGCTGAGCGGCGGGCGGGGTCTGGGAGATGCCCCCAACACCACAACTGGCCCTGTGCCACCACCTGGGAGGGGAGGCCCCCTTTGACCCCTCACCCTACATGCAGCCCACCCAGGACGCAGTCCTTAAACTAGAGCTTTTAACACTTCCCGCTGACCTGGGACCAGAATCCGGAACTAAAATCATGTCCTTCAGGACACAGATATGGTAGGGATTCCAGTGTGCGGCCCCGTGCTGCCCCAGATCGCTCACGCTCACGCTCACACCCGCTCACGCTCACACTCACACACCCCTGGCCCTCTAGGTGAGCCCTCCGCCAGCTCTCCTTGCCCCAGACACTACCTCTATCCCCCATGCTGGGGCTGAAGGACTCCAGGGCCCCTCCTCTCTGTTATCCACTGCCCAAGAGAGCTCGGGGGCTGTGATTTAAGAAGCACCACCCCCTCCACCCAGCCCCCCGCAGCTGTCCACAAAGAGGATGGCGGGGCTGGAAGGTGACAGAGATGGATCACCATGTCCATTCCTCCTCCTCTTCCCCCCACCCCGTGCACAAGAACGCACATGCACACGCACACGCACACACGCACACGCCAAGCTCTATCTGTGCCCTCCTGAGATCACACGAGGACAAGGAGGGGAGGCGGCAGGGGATCGGAGCCACGGGAAAACAGGCACGAAGCAGGGTGGAGGTTGTGGATGTCCTGCTTGAGATGCCAGGGCGGAAGGGGCTCAGGGCCTAGAGGGGACGGTGGGGAGGAGGGCAGACACCGAGCAGAAGGGTCAACAAGGTGAAGGAGAGGAGAGACAGGACCGCAGGGAGATGAGCCAAACAAGCAACACAGAAGGGAAGGAGGCACAGTGGAACCAGGAAGCAGGGCGAGGGAGGAGCCCCCGCGTCCAGACAGCAGGGCTTTGGGAGGGGCCCCCCAAGGGATGAAACAGCAGGGGCATGATGGAGGGAGCGAGGGAGGCGGGCTCAGCAGGGACGGCAGCGCAAGGGAGAGAAACCCAGAGGAGGAGACCCCGAGCTGGACGCAGGGGCCGTGGGGACACCGCACTGGGAGGCACGGGAAGGAGAACCAGCAAAGGAACGCACAGTTCTCAATTTAAGTACACATACGTGTGCACGCGCGCCTGTTTGTATAGGAAAGTGTGTTGAAGTGTATTAAAGGTGAATGTCACTGAGGAACGATACGGTCAATTTTCTACTTTATGCTTCTCTGTTATTCCCAAATTTCTTAGAGCAAACACCTGACCTCAAAAGTAGAGGGAAAAGCAGCAAGGAAATTGCAACACGCCCATCAGTACACACGTGTGCTTGTGAAGCACCCACGTACACCCCACGTACGCTGCTCCCGCCTCCTGGCCCCGCCTGCCTACAGTCCATCTTTGGGACAGGACAGGCCAAGGGCTGGGCCAGAGACGGCTCCCAAGATTTCTGGGGGAGAGGACGGGAGGGACAGTCGCTGCCGCCTTTAGAACTGACCCATGAAGCAGCAGCTGGGGAAAGGGTGGTAAATTGGGGGCAGGGCGGTGACCGCCTGAGTCCTGGGGGGTCTAGAAGCACGTCCCACTCCAATGCTGGGCCCAACATGGGGTACTCACCGTCCAGTGACAACCAGTCGAGCTGAGTACTAGGCAGTGACAGGAACCGGCGGGCTCGATACTCAAAGAGCACAGAGGCAGAAAGGGGCCCCTCCCGCCCCGCCACCTGCAAAGACACCAGCCCCACCTCATGGGCTGGGGGGGGCAGGGTCAGCGACAGGGGCTCTCTCCCTGGCTCCTCCTCTGGCCCCACGTGAGGGCCACACACGACGTTTCAAAGCTGGCGCGATTCCGATTGTTCAAGGACCTAATACCTACTGGGGGCTGGGCCTGAGACACCTGGGGTTGTAGACCCTGCGGTGAAGTCGGCACCAGGCCTGGGAGCGGAGCGTCCACAAACACCTCTGCTTGGGAAGCAGCCTGATCCCCCAAGGTCTGGGCACAGAGGGCACGAGCCGGTCACCGAGGTCGGGGAAGGAGAAGCAGCTGCTCACCGCAGGGTCCAGTGAGAGCTGTGTCCCGGGCTCTCCGTGTCTCTGGCCTTGAGAACGAATCCACCAGGCCCCGGTCCCCAGACTACAGGCTGAGACGAATCCCAGCACCCAGCCTCCCTGGTCTGCCCTTGCCGCTCACGCACCCCCGGACCAGGCTGCTGCGATGGGGCGTGCTCACAGCCAGTCCGTCGCCCCGTCACTCTGGTGGTCCCCGCGGTCCCACAGCAGCTGACTGCTGGGTGCAGGTAAGGAGCAAGGTCGGAGGCAGAGGGCAGAGGGGAGCCTCGGCACTGAGCTCTAGGCTGTGCTGTCTGACGGAGCTTCCTCAGTGCCAGACGCGTCCGGGATCGGCACCGTCCAGCAGGGTGGCTACTGAACCCTCAGCGTGTGCTTGCTGGGAGGGAGGTGCCGAGTCCTACGTTTTAGTTCGTTCTAATGAACTTCCATGGGCCCACGTGGCTAACGGCTACCTTACCAGACGGCCCAGGTCTAGGAGGCAACGTCCTTTAGTCCAAGACTGGCCGAGAGAGACCAACGTGTCTCTCTCCTCATGCTCCTGAGAGCTCCCTGGACTGGAACCAGAGACTGACTGCAACCAAGCCAGAGGGCCTGCACGGACAGTGGAGGCCCGCTGGGTCAAATGCCTGACCTCCCAGGACGGGGGGCCGCAGACCCGGAAGGCCGCCAGTCAGCTAAGGACTAGATCGCTTACGCCGGAGCCTAGACCTTCTGAGACATGCACCCAGACTCATGTGCCTGCTGGGGGAGCACGGAGCTCACCAGCCCACGAGCCGGCCCCTCCCCTGAGCACGCCCCACCCCCATACCAGGACAGTAGCAGCGTAAGACCCCAGGCTGGACAAGCGAGGCTGGCACGGCGATGTGATCGAAGACACAGGAGTAATGCTCGGCGGCCTCTGTCCAGGGACCTGTGATGAGCACCTTGACCCCACCCTGCAGAGACGAAGCCCAGAGTCATGCCACTGGAACTCGGTTGGGTGTTCATTCGCTCATTCACTCATCATGAATTCAGACCCTGAGGGAGCACGTGCGGTACGGCAGGCCCTGGGCTAGATTCTGGGGTACAGGGATGGGGCAGGACCCAGCGGGGTGAGGTCAGCTAGCCTGGCCCTCCTCCCAACACTCCTGCCAGCAACAGGGAACTCACTGCTTCCCCCAAGGCTGCCAACTGATTGGCAGACAGCGGTCATGGGCCGAAGCCCTTGCCTTGGGCTCCCACTGTCCTCCCACTGAGGTTCCTCCTCTCGTTCTCTGGGGCAGCAGAGAGCAGAACTTCATTGCAGGGAACAAACCCTCGGCTTCCCCAAGTCTGCAACAAGGGCACCTGGGGGACTCACACGACCACACCCAGCCCGCGGGGGTGGGGGAGGGAGGGACAGAGGCTACCTGCAGAGACGAGGGAAGCAGCTATGCTCTGCTCTGCATACAGAGAGGGACGGGACAAGAGCGAAGCTGCCACGCAGTCAGGGGAGAGCAGGGGGCAGCACTGGCTGAGTGGGATGGAGGAGGGTCTGGGGCCCGAGGCTCACCTCCGGGTAGGACCACTCTGGGGAGAAGTCCGTGATGGTGCTAAGAGCAGGAGAGAGCTGGGCGGCTGGGGCAGGGGCGCCTGGAGCCTCATCGCTGATGAGCTCTCCCATGAGGTCTGGGAATGATGCAAGACTGAAGGGCTCCAGTTCGCTGGCCCCAGCAGCTCCTCCAAACAAGGCCTCCCCTCTGCCTCCCCTGCCTGCCGGCTCCAGGGGGGCAGGTGAGGGTGGGGGTGAAGGAGGGGGTGAAGGTGCAGGGGGAGTGGCCCCCTGGGCCTTGAGCTCCTCCCCACTGCCATCGTCTTGGATGAAGAAGCGATTTCCTCTTCTCCCACCTGCTCCTGGCGGAGGAGGGGGACCCCGAGCAGCCTGGGGCTCTAGGGCAGCAGCGGGCTCCAGGGCAGGGCAGGGGGTGTGGGCGGCCTCTGCCTCGGGGAAGTCTGGGCTTACCCCCTGCCCCCCTCCGTACGTCTGGCCCCTCTGGGGGCTGTTGAGAAAACGATCCGGGTCAAAGGCAGGGCTGGGAGGAGCTGGTGGGGCAGAGGCCTCAGAGCCTACGACCACAGCCAAGCTCATGGAAGGCCTAGGATCAGCCTGGGGAGCCAAGTGCCTGGTGGGCGTCAAGCCCCCGGTCCGCTGCTCCAGTCCCGTCAGGAGGAGGATTGCGGTGCCTCCTCTGGATGAGCCCCCTCGGGAGGTGGGAGGGCTAGGTCTGATCTCTAGGGGTTCTGCAAAGCCGGAGGAAGAGGAGGACGAGGAGGAAGAAGAGGAAGGGGAAGTGTGTGCCTTGGGGAGCTCCGGGGGAAGAGGGGCTATCAGCGGAGGGGGCTCCGGGGGGTGGGGGTGGGGGACAGAGGTCAGCGTTAAAGCTCGGGGCTCCACTTTGGGAGAGATGATGCGGTGTTTCGTGCTGCCGCACTTGTGGGTGAGGCTCCCGGAACCTGCGGTGGGAAGGGGCGGGAGGATCGCGGTTCTCCACCATCCCTTCCCCGCGGCGTCACCAGCTTCCCGCACCCGGCCCCGGACGACAGCCGTACTATCGGCTGCGGCCACTGGGAGGCAGGCGTGCACCCCCAAATTAAACAGGACTGGAGGGGCTCTGCGGGGACCGCAGCTGAGACAAGCAGGTAAAGGCAAAGAGAAGGGATGTGAGAACACAACCGAGGGGGTGCCAACTAGCCGTAAGGCTGGGGCTGGGTGTGAACGGTCACGCTGGGGTGGCCCAGAGCCGCTAAGGGCAGCAGACAGACGGAGAGCCTGGGCCGGGCCAGCGTGCCCCGGCGGGAAGGCGGGAAGGCCTCTTCAACCGGCCCTCTTTCTGGGATATGCAAAAGACGTGCAAGTCAGCATGCAAACGCTAGCAGGACAGAGAGGCCCGAGGAAGCGAGGAAGGTGGGGCGCTGGCGGGAAGACAGCTCCGGGGCCAGGGGTCACGCACCGAGGCCCCCGCTGCACAGACAGGCGTGGGTTCGCGGCGCGGGCTTGGCCGGGTGGCTGTCCAGGATCTGCTGCACCAGCTGCTCCACTGAGAACTCCTCTGTCCCGCTCCCGCAGCTCCACTTGATGCCATGAACTGGAAGAGCGTCGGGGTGGGGGGGTGCTGGGGATCCCACAGGACAGGCCCCGAGACTCCCGGCCAGCAGCCGCAAAGCTCACAAACCTCCTTCGGCCCCTTCTCCGCAATGGCAAGAGCTCAGAACGCGCCAGAATCCTCGCGCCCCCTCAGGCGAGCACCGCCTGGCTCGCAGGGAGCCGCTCACCCCACGCTGGGGGTACAGACCCCCCCCGCCCCCCCCCCCCCGGGAGGCGCCTGTCTCCTCGCCCCCTGGGAGCGCCTTACACATGGGCTTCAGCTGCCCCAGCAGCTCCTCCCGGGACCACTTGAGCCACTCGCGACGGTCGCTGCTGACGGAACAAAAGATGGGGCTGCAGCCCTTCCCACAATCCTCCAGGGCTGGGACGTTCAGGTAGTGCACAAGCACGATGTCGGGGTTCTGAGAGCACAAGGGCACACACAGAGCGCCGTGGGGGCCCGCTCTCCTCCCAGGCCTGGCGCCTCCGTCCCCCACCCCCCTCCCCTCTTCCCAGGCTCCTCCTCCCACTCGGAGGAACCCAGTGGGTCATCTCAGACCCCACCTCCCTTACCTGCAGCAGCCAGTAACAGCGTCGATGGAATGTGGGGACGATGGAAGAGTGAACGTAGCAGCCATACAGACACTGCCAGGAGACAGGCTGGGGTGGGGGGAGGGCTAGTCTGCTCCCCAACTCTTCCTCTGTTCAGCCCCTTTGCAGGAATCCCAGTCTTTCCACCAGTTCCTCATCAGCCCTCGCCCACCCCCACCTACTCCCCATCCCGGCACCCCGCGCACGGGGACACTGGGGCCGGGGCCTCACAAGGCGGAGCAGACGGGACATACGGGAGGGACTGTCTAGAGATCAGAGGGCAGGGCGAGGGCACATCCGAGATGAGGAGCAGTGATTCGAGGGAGGGAAACCCGTGCTCAGAGGTTCAGGACTTGGACCCCTAAGGGGAATGGGCCTGGGCGGCCTCGGGGGGCGCCTGAGTCCTAGAGAGCTGGGTCACGGAGGGACGTGGGAGGCGGCCAGTGGGCTGAGCCACGGCAGTGAGAAGGGGAGTGGCCGGGAGGGTGGGAGGAGGTGGGCCAGAGCCCCGCTGAGGACGGAGGAGGGCAGCCGGGGCTGACGGCCGGGGCTGACGGCTGGACACCTGCCTCACCTCCATGCCCTGGACCTTCAGCTTCATGTGGTCCTCTCGCGTGGTCTTCCCATCCTTCCGCTTCTTCCACAGGTACCCGTCCTTCCGGTACTTCACCTTCTTGCGGTTGTAGAGGATGATGGAGCCGTTCTGAGGCCTGACGAGGGGAGGGCTGGCCTTGAGTTCTGCGGCGGGAATCCAGGAGCCCCGCCGCTGCCCGCCTTCATGAACCCGCTCACCTTGTCTTTGGGGCACAGGACAGCCACTCGTCATGCTTCTCAAAGGTGATCAAGTAGGATGCGATCTCCTGTAGGACAAGGGGCACTCAGCTGGGGGTCCCCGCGTAGACTCTAGGGCTGGCCTCCTGCTCCGCTGAGCTCTGGCGGCTACTGGAGGCTCCCAGCAAGAACCGCTGCCCTCCTGGGTCCCAGGCTCCATCTCAGACCCGGGTCTAATCTCTCCTTCCCTCTTCCTCAGCCAGGGCCAAGTCCAAACTCTCCATCCTCCATGCTTCGTGCCGCCTCTGATTTTACTTTCCAAATCCCATTTGTGCCACTTCCTGACTCAGAAAACCTCAATGGCTCGACACTGCCAGGATTTCCGAATTCCTCAACCTGACTCCGAGCTTCTCTCAGACCAGGGATAAAACCGCTCCCACCATTTACCTATGTTCCACCTACGATCCCTGCCAGACCAGCCATGGATTCTCCTCTGAACGTGCCCTGAGCCCTGAGCTCCTGAATGTTAGTGTCCCCCCTCAGGCCTGAATGCCATGCACCCATTTCTCTCAGCCTGGACACCCTAGTCATCCCACAGATCACATCCCTTCCCAGATCTCCACCAAGCCCCGCTCCCTGCCCTGGCCCTTCCTGCATTTACAGTAATCACACACGCATATGTCCTCTCGCTGACGATTCTCATCTAATGAAATAATCAGGCGCTGAGTACACACAAACCATTGTGTGTGCGTGTGGGGAGGGGGGAGGACACGGAAGGTGTATAACACGAGGACCATGCCTCCAGAAGGAGCCAGCGTCAGCGGTGGTTAAAAGCAAAAGCTCCAGAGTTAAATAAACTACACAAGGTAGACCCATTTCCTCCCCTATAGCATGGGGAGAACAACTGTGTCTGCTCCACAGGGCCGGTAAAGGACTGAAGGAGGTAACTGAGCTCAGGTGCTGAGCACATCGCTCAGTTTGTAAGAAGTATTTTGTTGCTGCTTGCTGTTACTTTTCCCCGGGTGGATGTGCCCAGGAGTGAGCGCCTATAAGATGCAGGTCTCTACACCTCCTCTGGGGCCCCCAAAGAGCTTAGAGCAGTGCTCTGCACTTAGGAGGACCCCCATCCACCATCCTCCAACCCACCTTGCCAGGCCCTACCCAAGGCTCCCCCAGAAAACCTCATTTGTATTCCACCGAAGTCGCTCTGGCGGCAGCAGTTGACAGCGAGGAAGACACTCCAGCAGCTTCTTGGGGAGAAAGATCTTCAGGTGGTGGCTGTTCTCTAGAGGGAATCAGAAGGGAGGGTTCAGTGTGCTTCCTCTGACCCGTCCGGCAGCCCAGGGCAAAGGGGCTGAATCCAAAGCACTGGTGGGGGGACTGAACCATGACAAGGGGAGCAGGGACGCAAGAACTCGAGGGTCACCACAGCCGGGAGAAAGAAAGGCTGGGAACCTGGGCTGTGAACTCACCGGCAACCTCGGTGGTGTCCTTGGAATTCATGGTGAGGGCTCCAGGGGGCAAGGTCACCCCCGGCCTGAGGGGCCGGGGGGAGGGGGAGTCTGTGCTGGGAAGGGAGAGAACAAGGTCATGGCAGAAACCCCCCACATTAACCCAGGATGAGGAGGAGGAGCTGGGAGAGGGGTGTGGAACTGTGTCGTGGTAGCCGGGAAAGATGAGGAGGCAGGGAGAAGGGGCCAGACTGAGATGTGAGTAGAGCTGGGCATGGAGGAGAGGGAGAATCCAGACCCGGTGCCAGGAACCAGCACGGGTGGGGAGACACCACCGACAGAGTCATCAGGAAGAGACCAGTGGGCGGGGGAGGGGGGAGGCTGGCCCGGCTGGCGCTTCCCAGGCCCTACGGCAGGGGCTGTCGCCGTGGAAGCTGGGGCTGCGCAGGGGTCAGGGCCTGGGGGCTGGCACTTCGGGGACCTGGTCCTTGAGGACGGTTCGGCAAATGGGAGCCTAGACGCTGGGGGGAGGGCTGGAGGTCTAAGTCCGCCGGAGAGCTGGGCCTTACAAGACACACCCTGGGTTCCTTCTCGATTTGATACTTGCAAGGGGAAGGGCCGATCTGACGACTGATCGTAACCTCCTCCCTCCCCTCCAGGTCCGTCAGGGCCCGGTCGATCTGGGCCGGGTATCCAGGCCTCGGCTTCCCAGCCCCAGGACGACCCATCCTCCACTCTGAGGCTCCCGGCCCTCCCCACCCCTCCTCCACCAGCGCTCTCCCCGAACGCCTCCGCTTCCCCTGGCCTCCAGGCCCGCCGTACCCCATCTACCGCTCTGGCTCCAGCCTGAGCCCCCACCCTCCCGAGGGAACAGATGGAAGCGGGAGGATGCTCCCAGCGCGGGCTCCGGGCGGCGGGCTCCGCCAGGTGTCCGCGGTGGAGAGGGGAGGAGGCCCGTCCGCGCTAGCTGTGTGCAGGGCAGCCGGTCGGGGTGAGGACTCCGCCCCAGGGCGCAGGTGCGCAGTCCCGGCCCGGCAGCCTGCCAGGGAGCCGAGCGGCCCGGGGCGGGGGTCCCCGGAGACGCCCCGACGTGGGAGCGCCCGCCGCCCGGCCGCCCGCTGGGGCGCTCCGAGACGACGCGGCGCAGAGCCCGCGGGCGCACGGCGGCGAGGGCCGGGCCGGGCCGGGCCGGGGCCCGGGGCGCGGGGTCCCCCGGCGCTGCCGGCGCGTTGCGGCGCCCCCTGGCGCGGGGGAGGAGGACGGGAGCCGGCTTGGGGGCGAGCCGGGAGGAGGGGCGGGGGTCCCCGCGGCGCGCGCCCGCGGCCCGGCCCCGCAGCGGCGCCCCCTGGCGCGGGGGCGGAGAGGCGGGCGAGAGGCCCCGGCTCTTACCTCCCGGGGTCCCGCGGGTGACGGCAGCAGCGGCCATTCTACCCCTCGCCGACCCCCCCCCGGCGCCCGCTGACAGCGGCGTCCGACGTCACCGCGCACGGGGCGGGGCCTCCCCGTTAAGGGGATGGGGGCGGCCGGGCAGCGCGGGGCGGGGGCCGCGGGGCGGGGCGGGCGGCCGGGGCCCCGCGGGACCCAGCCCGACTTCCCTTCAGCTGGTCCCGCAGGAGGGGACGGCGCCCTCCCTCCCCGCGAGCCTCTCCGTCACTGCTCCTCGGGCAGAAAGACGCTCTGGGCTCGCCTTGCTTGCTTTTTAATGTCAGAACAGAGGCCGGGGATCGGGCCTGGCGGGGTGTGGGGTGGGGGGGCGGGGGGCAGCCGGCCCCGGGGAGCCCCGCGAAGAGCGGATTGACCAGGGAGGCCAAGGGGGCTGTTAGCGCCCAGTGCTGGGGGTGCGGGCAGCTGGGAGAGGCTGAGGAGGGGGAAACGCCTCGCTGTCACAAGTGGGGGAGGCTCCAGGGCCGCCAACCAGCCTGGGGCCCGCTGGGCGGGGGCAGCAGAGGGCGTCTGGGGCATCGGGGGCATGGGGTCCGTCCTCACTCCTCAGACTGCACCTCCATCCCCCAGGGCTTGCAGAGGAGCTTCCTGCTGGCTGTGACAGCGCTGAAGGAGGCCAGGGAGCCCAGCGGCCTGGGGAGGCAAGATGCCCCGTGGCCCGGGGGGCTCCAGGGAGACCAGAGCAGCTGTAAGGATGAGATCGGGAAGGGCGGTCTCTCTGGGCTTCCTAGCCCCCAAGCCCAGGCACCCCCCAGCCTCTCTGTGTTTTGTTCCTCTCCAGGCCAGCCACCCAACCTGGGGCTCTGGCCTCCCGCTGTCCCTCCTCCCAAGACCAGGCAGCCCCCGCACCCTCCTCCAACCCACCAGGTTCCTCCCGCAGACCTGGGGCCGGCCAGCGGTGAGAAGGTGGCCGTCCTCCTGTGGATAGGCAGCCCTGTCCTCTTCCAGACCCCAGTGTTTGGCGGCACTGGGGACTCCACGGTGGTCATCGGCAAGCGCCAGGGGCTCAGATGCAGCCCCAGAGCTGCCCCACTGGGCCTTCTTCTGTCTGTGGTGACGTGAGGCTTAGGAACGCAGAGCCTGGAGGCCAGGCTTCCTGTCTCTCCACTCTTCACCTCTCTGCCCTGAAATACTTCCTGCTGGGACCCAGGGGTGTTATCACTGGACTTCCAATCGTCCACCCCCAGCTTCCTGCTCCCCTCAGACTGGAGCACCCTCAGTCCAGGGACTCAGAGGTGACCTGTGGCGACTCACGACCCTCCAGTTCTGTGGACGGCTTTCCTGTCATCGGTGACCCTGTTTCCACTCCTCGCAGCTCCTGTGGTTCATCCTCCACCCCCAGTTCCCTCCCCATCTCCGTACAGCCTCCAATCCCTTCAAAGCTCTCAACCCCTTCCTTAGTTCAAACTCTCCTGCCCCCAAACCCTGCTTGGCCCCCAGAGCCCAGATGTCTCTTTCCTTACTCATTGATGAGTCTCTGTCGCCTCCTTAGATCCTCCAGGTGATAAGTGACTGCCCTCACCCGGGCTGGGATGCCCGCAGGTCCCTGCTGCATTCCTGCCAAATATGGCCTTCTTCTCTTTCTTCTGCAAAGCACCTCTGGTGGTGGGAGCCCCTCAGGGGGGTACAGGCCAGGCTGGGAGCATCCAGTGGCTCTCTGTGCCCGAGAATGGGGGGAAAGGGGCCAGAGGGCAGAACTGGGCCTCTCAAGGAGGGCTTGGACTAAAACAGGGAGTCAGGGGTCTTGGGAAGCCCAGATCATGGAAACAGGGTGACTGATGCAAAGAAAGGAGGGTGTGGCCCGTGCACTGGTTGGGGGACGGCAGAGGGAAGAGGTGGTAAGGTTAGCTGAGGATAGGATAGCAGTGGGTACGATTTTAACCAAGGGGTGCTGGAGGGCACAACGTTCGTCATACCAGCAGGGGTGGGGTGTACTGTTCTTCCGTCCCGGTGGGGCTGTAAAGCACAAAAGGGGAGCTATGTGCAGAGGACACCCCTATCTGTACTGTTTCTTGGACCGCCTCTCCCAAGCACCTGTCCGTCTGGCAGTAGGAGCTACGGTGTCCATCAGCCAGTGGCCCCCAGACGAGGGCTTATTGCTGTAAGGCTTAGTGCAAAACTCCACAGCCTTACTTCCGCCTCCTTTTCTCTGTCTACCCACCTGGGCCTTTGGCTAAGGTTCTCCCAGAAGAGGGCTCCGTATCGCTGGGGCAGCAGTCCGAGGCTCTGGGGAGGCGAGCTGGGGGGTGCTGAGCGGCGGACCACTCTGGAACACCTAAGAGGACAAGGGAGGCTTGGGGCTGGCTCACTCCAGGGATTCAGGGGTCCCGTCTTTCCATAGGACCCTCCGGCCACGTGCTCTCCTAGCCATTTCAGCTGAGGAGGTAGTGAGATCTCTGATTTGCAAGACTGGAGACTGCAGTTGTTTGAGCCTCGGATCTCATGCCAAATCTCAAACGTCTGTGCCCCGGAACCAGGGAACACCGCATTCAGCTGTTACAGAGGAAGGCCCCAGCGGCCCCGCTGATGTGACAGGCGGGTTCCGGCTGGTCAGCGCAAGTGCCCAGCCGAGCAGAACCTCTGCTCACTCCTGCTTTGTCTCCCTTAACAAAGATAAACTGCTATCCTTCTAAGTAGCAAGGGGTATGCAGAGGACAGGGCTCAGCAAGGGGTATTTGAGGACAGGGCTCAGCACTTCCAAAGTCTCCAGACTACATGCAGACTGGCCTCCTGCTCTCCAGGGGAATGTCCTAGGGGTTGGCCTGGACCCTCTCTCTTCTCATCTCCACCTCTCCTTATGGGATCTCACTCAGGCGCATGACTTTAAATACTACCAATGTGCTAAGGACTCCCAAATCCCTATCCCCCCTGGACTCCACACATGGAGTCCACATCTCCTCCCCAGCCTTCCCCACCTCATGGGAAGGCACCCCAGATGCCCAGTTTCCAGAGCCCACAAACCTGGTACGCCTCACTTTCCCTCAACTCCCATATCCAGTCTATCAGCAAGTCGTGTCAGTCCTACATCGAAAATATACCCAGATACTACTTAAAATGAAAAAATTAAAAAATAAAGTTTCACTTAAACTAAAAAAGGCGGGGGGGTGGGGGTGGGCTTGGCTGGCTCAGTAGGTAGAGCATGCTACCCTTGATCTCAGGGTTGTGAGTTCAAGCCCCAGGTTGGGCGGTGTGGAGCCTACTTACATTAAAAAGTATATATATTTTTTGATTTTTTAAAAAAAGTTTCACTTATATTTTAAAAAAATAAAATACACCCGATTTGACCACTCCTCACCCTTTCCACTTCCACCGCCACTGTTCGGCTCATCTACCCCTGCCCGGACTATTGCAGTGGGTTCCTCCTGCTCTCCCTGCTTCCATCCTAACCTCCCAATCATCTCTTCTGCCCAGAGCAGTGTGAGTAACCGTTTAAACATGGTTGTGTGAAATGCAGCCAGGTTGAGATTTACTTCAAAATAATCTGAGTAGGAGGAGGCTGGACGGTCGCACAGATGAAATGATCGTCCCTGGAATGATAATTTTTGAAAAGCTGCCAGCAAGGGCACACTGGCTTCATGATGAGTATTTTCTCTACTTAGGTATTTGTTTGACATTTTTCACAATAAAGAAATTGGGGAGAAAGAAAAAAGTCTGCTCGTGCCATTTCCCTGCTGAAAACCTTCCACTGATTTCCACTGCCCTTTGGATAAAATCCACAACCTTTCCAACGGCTTGTAAGGTCCTGTATGAGCTGGCTTCTGCCTGACTGTCCGACTTTACTCTCTACTTTTCCCATGATTGTGAAGTTTCAGTTTCACTGGCCTGCTTCCTGGTCCTACAAGATACTGAGTTTATTTCTTTCTTGGGGCTTACCCCCCCTCACTATCCCTTCTTCTCCCCTCACACCCCCCCCCCCCCCCGCAACCCGGGCTATTATTAGACCAGCTGCTTCTCAATCTTTAAGATCTCAATTCAAACTCAGCTCCCCAGAATCGTCTTCCACAATCACCCTATCTAAACTTGTGTCTCCAGAATATTCTATTTTGCATTATATTATGCTCCTGTTTTATTTTTTTATACTTCTCACTAATTGAAATTATATTTACATTTGGACATTCTGTGTCCTCCCTCCAGAAAGTAAGTTCTATCTGTTTATGTTTATTCTTTATCTTCCTCATTGTTGAATCCTTGGTGCTGAATATCATGTCTAGAACGTTGTAGTTCTAGACAAAACCTATTTGTGGGACAAATTAATGAATCATTGGTCCCCCGAGACCAGGCACTGAGCTTCTTGTTCCTTATTTGCTACTCCTGTTGGGGAAGAAGCCAGGCGTGCCATCTTCCCTCCATCCCGTCCCCACTGGGTGGGGAGGACTCACTTGGCAAAGGGGATGAGGTTGTCTCCATCTTCCTGCACGACTGGACTGGGCTGGGTGGCTGGACCAGGCTGGGTGGCTGGACAGAGTCTCCTCATTGGTGCTGGGAGGATAATGGAAAATGAATCATTCACTCATGTCATGGCTGTAGGGACGAGGCCGGCCGAAGATCTAGAGATTGTGAAGGGGGTTTGTGGTTCGGGAGAAAGGAAGGAGAGCTTCAGGGGTATTTCTAGTGCTGGCCATGTTTAGGAGCTGAACATACACACAGTTTAAAGACAGCGAGCAGGGGCGCCTGGGTGGCTCAGTCGGTTAAGCGACTGCCTTCAGCTTGGGTCGTGGTCCCGGGGTCCTGGGATCGAGCCCCGCATCCCTCTCCCGCTCCCCCTGCTTGTGTTCCCTCTCTGTGTCTGTCAAATAAATAAATAAAATCTTAAAAAATAATAAAAAAGAGGGGCGCCTGGGTGGCTCAGTCGGTTAAGCGACTGCCTTCAGCTCGGGTCATGATCCCAGGGTCCTGGGATCGAGCCCCGCATCCGGCTCCCTGCTCGGTGGGAAGCCTGCTCCTCCCTCTCCCGCTCCCCCTGCTTGTGTTCCCTCTCTCACTGTGTCTGTCAAATAAATAAATAAAATCTTAAAAAAAAAAAAAAGAGAGCGAGCATAGGGAATGTGGACGTTCAAAGATAAGTCAGGAAATTAGTTTTCTGGAGCCAAACGTAGAGGAAGTGAGACCTGCAGGTGGTAACTTGGGATGATGGAAGGACAGACAGGCGGGGACTGGGTAGGGCAGAGGGGATCGGGGTCGTTGGTACAGAATCGTCGTTTGGGGGCAGTTAGACAACTGAGGGCTGTTAAGTAAACCAGATACGAGGGCTCACGAGAGTCACGTGGGCACAGGGCAGCGCGGTCCCTCGGCTCCGGGGAGGGAGGGAGGGAAGGAGGGGAGGGGGCGGTCAGGACCGCGTGCAGGTCAAGGGGAGCAGGCAGGCGAGCGGCCCAGGGCCAGACTCCGGGGCGGCCGGGCGCGCTAGAGGAGGGGTCCGCGCGGGGTGCCCCGCGCCCAAGGCGGGCGGGCCGAGCTCAGGGGTCTAAGCGGGCGCACCCCTCGCCCCCCGCTCCCCGGGGCGGGGTGCCGCTGAAGGAAGCGGGACGGGAGGTGGCCCAGGCCTCGCGGGGCGGGGGTCCTGGGCAGGGGCGCCGGGCCGGGCCGGGGGAGCGGCGGCCTGAGGGCGGAACCCGGCCTGTGTGTCGGGGCAGGCCGGGCCCGAGACGGCACCCAGGCTGAGGCTGCGGCCGGGCTGCCGGGCTTGCGCCACCTGCGGGCCCGCACCTGAGGCGGCGGCGCGGCGGGTTCCAGAACGCCAGGCCGGGCGCCGCGCGGGGAGGCGCTGACGGGAGCGCAGCCGCGGAGCCGGCGCGCCGCGCGCCGGGGGCGGGGCCTGGGCGGGGCCGCCGCTGGGCGGGGCGCGCCGGCGGCTCCGCCCCCGGGCGCGCCTCCGACGGCGGCGACGTGCGCGGGTCCGGGGCCTGGGTCCCCTCCAGGGCCCGCCCCGGCCCCCTGCCCCCCGCCCGCCGGCCACCCTCCACCCCGCCGCCCGGCCCGGTTCCTCGGGCGCCGCAGCCCTCCCGCCAGCCAGCGTCCTGCGCGCCTTTCTGCGCCCGCAGCTCGGTTCCCCGTCCGCGCCCGGTGGGCCCCACAATCCGAGCGCATCGCCCCTTTAACGGCAGTTCCCGGGGCGCTCCCGGGCCCGAGTCGGGCCGGCGCGCGCCCGCCCGCCCGCGTGCGCGCGCGCGCCGGTCCCCCGCCCCTCGCTCCCGCCCCAGCTCGCGCTGCCCGGGCGGGCGCCGGCCGCTGGCGCCCCTGCTGCTGCCGCCCCCGGGGCGCGAGTCCGCCGCCCGCCGCCCGGGGACCCGGCGAGGGGCGGGGGCAGCCCCGAGCCCGCTCCGGATCTGCCGGCCGCCGTCTCACGCCCCCCCCGCCCCGGAAGGTCGCCCCCGTGCCCTCAGCCGAGCCGCTCGGGGAGCCCCGCCGCGACGAGGTGAGCGCTGGGGGGGGGGGAGGAGGGCGCGGGAGGGCGGGGGACGCCCGCCGAGGAATGTGCCGGTGGGGGGCGGGGAGCCGGGGTCCCGGCCGGCCGCGGGAGCCGGGGTCATGTGCTGTTTGTCCCGCGGAGGCGCAGAGAGGTGCCAGGCCCGGGGCGGCCGTCGGGCGGCCGGCCGGGAGGGAACACCGGGTCCGCATGGCCGCCGGCACAGGCCGGGACCGGGGTCCGCGCCGGGATCACCGGGCGGGCTGGGGGCAGGTGCCCCCGGCCGCGCCTCGGCCGCGCCAGCCTCTTCCGTGCCCCGTGAGCCGCGACGGCGTGACCACGGCGTTTCCCCGTCGTGGCCCCTGCCCAGGGCAGGGTCTGGGGGGTCGGCGCTGTGCTTCCTGACACAGCCTCTGTGATCTGAGCTCCTCCCTTCCTGTCCTGGGACGCACCAGCCCTGTCCCCTTCCCGTGCCCTGCCCAGGAAGGCTGCGGAGGTGAGGCCCAGCAGGACAGGCCCTTTGGTCCTGTGGGGCCACAGAAGGGGCCCCAGCATCCCCGTCCGCCTTCGCTGGCCTCCACCCTCCTGCCCGTGGGCGTGGGCTGCTCAGCCTCTCCTCCCAGGGTGTGAGCACTGGGGCACCCACATTCCTGGGCTCCAGCCTGGCACCTTCCCCCCGGGCAGTGGACGCCATAGTGCTGGCCCAGGCTGGGGCTGGGACCTGCCTGCTTCCTTTTGGGGCGACCCCGGTGCTTTCCCGCCCCCCAGTGAAGTCACAGGTATTTCGCAGGGAGCTCCCAACAGAGGAGCCCTGGGGGTTGGTGTGATGGATACAGGATGACCCCACCCTCCCCTGCCCATTGTCCAGGATCCTGAGGAGGAAGTGCTGGGGGCTGGGCGAGGGGTTTGGGGCCCACGGGCTGCCCGTGGATCCCAGGCCTGGGCTGTCCCCCCAGCCCTTGAACTTTGCCACGGGCGGTTCCTCCCTGTGTGGAGGCTGTGGGCTCTAGATTTCTACTTCTTGGCTGGCACTGTGGGGGAATTTTAGGGCAGGTTTTATGTTTGGGGTTTTCTCTCCTGTCTGTCCTGGGCTCCCACTTTGTGCTGTCGCCCCAGAGCTGCCCTCCCTGTCTACGATTTCTGTGTCTGCGATCTTCTGTGTCTCCTTCCTCTTCTCCTTCCCTCGTTTCTTCCATAGCATGACCTGGATCTTGCCTCCTCCTGTCTTGGATCTCTCTCTTTCTCAGTGTCTGTGACTTTCTGTCGTTCTTCTGCCCCTCTTCCTGTCACCGCCAGTGTCTCTACCTCTGCGTTCCTCTCTCTGAACTGTCCTGTGTCCAGCCTCTCTCTCTTTTCTCTATCTGGGTGTCCAGTACACTCATGAGTGACGAGGAATAAAAATATCACGGTCCCTGTCCTTGGATTCACATTGCTTTCAGCCACTTGGGAGGGACCGCAGTCCTCCCCTCTCCTAACCTTGCCCCCTGCCCCTGCCCTCCAGCTGCAGAACCCCGACCCACCTCTGGAGCCCCAGGTGCCTCCTAACCACTCTTCCCCCACAACCAGGGTTTCCCCCACAGCCCCAGCTGGCGTGTCCAGGCCCCAAGGGTAGGATGGGGCTTCCCCTACGAGGGCCGGTGGCAGCCAGAGCTGATACAGCCCCCCTGGTCTGGGGCCAGGACGCCAGGTAACTGGGATGATGGCCCAGGTCCCTGCGAGCTGGGATGTGGCCGGGGAGAGAGGCAGGAACACCACTGGGAGTCGCTAAGGAGAGTGACATTTGGGAGGAAGGCCAGAGGGCCAGGAGCTAGGTCCTGGAGGGGCTGGGGAGCTGGGGAAGGGGGTGGAGATGCTGGATCCTGGGAGAAGACACGAGGCAATGTCTGGGTCCCCCCAGCGGGCTCTGACCACCTCTTCTGTCTCTGTCCTTCAGCTGAGGAGGCTGAGAGTCTCGGGAGCCATGGCTGGTGCCTCAGTGAAAGTGGCCGTGAGGGTTCGGCCCTTCAACGCCCGTGAGACCAGCCAGGATGCCAAGTGTGTGGTCAGCATGCAGGGCAGCACCACCTGTGAGTGAGTCCCAGGGGCCTGGCTGGGCACAGGCGGGGCAGGCAGGCCCACCACGCTGGCCTGGCCGGCTGGGCCGAACCAGGAGGAGGACTGAGCTGGGTGCGGAGCAGGTGCTAGTCAGAAGGGTGGGGGCAGGGTGGGGGCAGGCTGGCCTTTCCACGTTCCCAGTCCCTGGGAGGGGGAATGTTGGCCTGGAGCCCTCCATTGCCCAATCGGGGAGGCAGCCTGGTGGGGGGGGCGGGTCCTGAGAAGCCAAAATTAGCCGAGTGGCTGGAGGGGGTGGGGAGTATTAAAGGGGAGAGATGAACTAGGACAGAGGTGGGGAGTGGGATGCCTGGATTCCCACAACGGGGGGGAATGGGCAGAGGTCGGGAGTACCTGACCTTGGCCTTCCTGTCTTTCCTTCTCCTGCCCCGTCAGCCATCGTCAACCCCAAACAGAGCAAAGATGCCCCCAAAAGCTTTACCTTTGACTACTCGTACTGGTCACACACTTCGGTGAGGTTGCTGGGGTGAAGGGAGAGCTCAGCAACGAGGAACAGGGGTTTAGGCACTGGGGAGGGGACATTGCTGGGATATAGGGCAGGTTTTATATTTGGGGTAATAGGGACCGGGATGGGAGGACCAGGACCCCAGGGTGGGGGTGAGTAGGACCCTTAGGGCATGTGACTGGGACCAGGATGCAGGGAGGGAGAATCCTTCGGGGTGATTAGGTCTGGCAGGAGACCGTATAGGATCCTGTCTCGGGAGAGTAGAACCATGCGTGGGGTTTGCTCAGGGCACATAGGACTTTTGGGTGATCAGCAGTGATGGGGACAAGACTCTCGGGACCCAGACCCTGAGGATGGAGTCACGTAGGGCTCCTGCTCTGTCTCTGCTTCACTAGGCCGAGGACCCCCAGTTTGCATCTCAGCAGCAGGTGTATCAGGACATCGGAGAAGAGATGTTGCTCCATGCCTTCGAAGGCTACAACGTGTGCATCTTTGCGTACGGGCAGACCGGGGCTGGGAAGTCGTACACCATGATGGGGCGTCAGGAGCCAGGGCAGCAGGGCATCGTGCCCCAGGTACACGCCCGTGACCTGGCGGGGCGGCCGGGGCAGAGCAGCTCAGCTGCTCCCCGGGGCAGGAAGGGCCCACGGGCTATGGAGCAGAGACCTGGGTCTCTGAGGCTGTGCTGGTGGGGAATGTGAGGGGGGAGGGGCGGGCAGCTACGTGGGGCCCCGTGGGGAGGGGTCTCTGCCCCCACCGGAAGCAGCAAAGCTGGAGCCAGAGCCTTGCTGCTGGAGAATCCTGGGTCTGAACCCTGGTGCTGCCGCTTGTTGCGGTTTTACCTCGTCTGTGAGGGCGGCTCCCCGCAGACATGCCTACCGTAGTCAGGGTGCGGACCGTAGAGAAAGCAGATGTGGATAACCGGGAGCTGACCGTAATTCTCCCTGACCGTGCCGCACAGTGGCCTTGCCCATGGGCTCTGATGTCAGGGTGCCGGCGTTTGCTTCCCGGCTCACCACGTGGTAGTTGGTGACGCTGGGCAAGCATGAACCCCTGGGAGGTTGCTTCCCCATCTGTGAAATGGGAACACCCGCCCCCTCAGGGCTGTGGTGGGGGTTAAACAGAGCCACTCGGGCCGGGGCCCAGCAGGGGCGCCGGGAACAGCTGCTTCTCTGTGTCCCCTTCTAGCTCTGCGAGGACCTCTTCTCTCGCGTTAATAAGAACGAGAGTGCTCAGCTCTCCTATTCCGTGGAGGTGAGCCTGGGTCCTGGTGGGGCCCCGGGCAGGGGAGGGGCAGCAGGGACAAGACTACGGGCATCTCGGGACTCAGGCAGCCTCGGGCCTGCCCGCGGCTCTGCCCCGTTACTCACAGAGACTTTGGGCAGCTGATTTCATCTCCCTGCTCTTGAGTTTGTTCACTCCTGAAAGGATAGTGACCGGTCCCCCTCCTAGGGCTGTTGGGTCAGTGAGCCCGCATGGGCGAAGTGCTCGGCACCGCGCCTGGGGCGACGTGCGTGCTCGGTGTCCGCAACATGCCGTCACCCACGTTCCATCCAGGGAGCTGGGTGCAAGTTTCGTTATCCGTACGTCTCTGACACCTGTCGCTTCTTATTTGCTTCTCCTGCTCAGGTGAGCTACATGGAGATCTATTGTGAGCGGGTGCGAGACCTCCTGAACCCCAAGAGTCGG